GACTAATTCTATGTGGTTTAGTCAATAAAGTTAATTGCTGTCCATAGACTGTCTGAATTTTTCGACATATCGGCAGTCTTAGAACTATAATAAACTTTTCAGTTGTATGTCCATTGCTTTTTCGAATGTCTTGATAAGCACGTAGATGACTATTATTCATTTCTATTCCCCTGGGTTCCTCTGGAACTCAGGGTTTCAACCAGACATCTACACCATCTCTCGCGTAGACGTGATATCCGGCTATCGACCAAAAGCCGCGTGTACTGTTCAGCAGTCTCCAACCTTCTGCTTTACGCCTGTGAGACATGGCCATTAGAAGTGGAAGACAGTAAAAGCCAGGCTAGCTAGCTGTCTTTGATCATACGAGTCTGCATTCTGTCTCCCGTGTCAGGTGGTATAATATTGTGTGCAATATTAAGGTGAGGCATCGGTCGAGTACTAGATAAAGAAGGAGGAAGGGAATTCAGTAGACGAGGCTGTGAAGCAGTCATATCGATTGGGATGGTTAGGACAGGTGTTACGCATTTACGCCTCGCCATCGCCATCCTTAACAACGGACAATTTCAGCTGACTGACGTAGGATCAATCAGGTTGGAAAAGAGCTAGTGGTGGTGGCGGTGGTGGACAAACCGAAACATGGCTCCATCAGTCAATGAAATACACAACGGTTAGTTTGAGCCAGTAAGCGATGTAGGCGGGTGTAGATTTCCTGACGGCCTGGTTGGTGTCGTCGGAATAGCAGGAACCAATGAAGGCTGGACACAATTGATGATATGACTCAAAATCGTTTTCAATGGAGCAGATGCATCCACTACTTGTGATTTGTTATATCCAATAAAACCAAATTGTTCTTCCATATAACTATTCTTTTTGCCTCATATTTCTGTTTATAACCTCCCTTTATTTTGAATCTCTGTTTACTGTCTTTTTTCGCTTCGTGCGCCAAATGGAGGGAGTGTGGTGACTTGGACTACTGCATGTCTGTGCAGCAGTGACTTGTAAAATGAAATCTTCTTTCAGATTCAATTTATCCCTATGCAACTGAAAATTTCTAATCATGTGGATTGAGGTTAGTAGGGACAAAGTGTTATCTTGCTGGGATTTATTCAAATCCTAATTAAATACAAATTTGTTGATAGGCTAACCGTGCATAATTAACTTTAGAAAAGTCTAGACTAGTAAATCCCAGTGGAATAGAAGGCCTTTTGGCTGCTGGTGGTGTGTTGTTTTTACAGGTTGGGGTTGTCAACCTCACGACCAGCCATCCCTCTTTTCTAAGGGCTTACTATCGACTCGTAGACTGCTTGAGGTGTAGGAATTTGTCGGCTGGGAATCGAACCCGGATATCCTGTATGGCTAGTGTAACGATGAATATCATAGCTGTTGTCTCAACACTTGTAGACTAGTGCTTCGTTGGAAAAATTTATTTCTTGACACGAATTTAAAATAGGCAACAAAGGTTAGCAAAGCAGGATTCATTGAATTCATCAAAATTTCCGTAGAAGTATTCTTGAGTCGAATACTTTACATACAGTGATAAATAATACCATAAGAATTGCATTGGTAGATAAATGACTGATAAGTAAATAAACTGTATTGAATCAATCATGCAAAAAGATAGGTGTGAATGTTTTTCAGGTCATGTTCAAATGAATAAAGGGAAGAGAGTTTGAGAGATTATAATTAGGATAATAAGGTATTATGGTTTACTGATTAAGACTGCTCACTAATATGTTTTCGTTTCAAAAGAATGGTTACTGAAAAGAAAATATTCTCATTTTCGATAACCTGCTCTTCAGCATCAGGTTCTACAGTTATATATCCAGCCATAATAGTGAATGAATCAATTAGTGTTATTAACAACACAAATGTTATTGTTTAAATAACATCGAATCAATAATAATAATAACATCAATGGATTACAGTTCTATAGCATCAACATAAAACTATACACTGAATGAATATCAGAGAAATTAGGAAACATAATAATAATAATAATACAAATTCATGAATTAATAGTATCCACTGAAGGCTGTCCACGACAGTAGTAGTCACTGGTTGGAACCATTTCTTCTGATCTAAGATCACTGGTTGTTTCAGTCAAATCACAATAGCCGCTAGTGTTTTTGGAGTATGCGGTAACTGGATGGTTTTGGCAATTTGTATGGTACCCGATAGCTGGTGATGATGGAGAAGGACCAGGTTTTCTAGCATCGAGCTATTGATGCATCTCACTACACCTTTATTTAGCTCTACTGGTATGTTTCTCAGAGCAAGCACGAAAAATGAAGTTCGTAGAGCAACGGCCAATATAACTTGCTCCGCCAAAAGCGCAGTTCAGTTGGTAGATACAGTTAGAGGTGGCTAATCTAGGTACTTTATCTTTCAATTGAGGAATCACCACCGGTCGGTTGTGTAGAAAATGAGACTTGCAGCTTACCAGCATTAAAAGTTCTTTGAATGGATTTTCTCAGCTTCTTCGTAATTATTTCGCCACGTATATACCGCCCTTGAATTGCAATCGTATGTATATAGGCTTCTCATTTACAGATATAGAATACTCCTTTTCTACTTTTTTAGTCATGTGTTTCCTGATGAATTTGTCTAAATAGGTATTTTCAATCAAGATATTACGTACAGTCCTTAGTTCATCTTCAGTTACCTCTTCTAAGAGTATAGCTCTAACCGTGTCGCTGAGTGTCCTTATGAAATTCCCTTTGTACTGGAGAGGAACAAAGCTATGAAAATGTGTATATTTTGCTGTCCACGTGCTCTTCCTATGCAAATTTCTTTTTCATACTACCATCTGAAACAACTGGTGCTCGCTGTGCAGAAGAAACATATACAACCAGCCACTGCTAATGCCCTGGATGGCCTTTAGTGGAGACTATAAATGCATGCATTTGTATTAGTACTTATCCTTATTTTTCTAATATTCAATGTGTAGTTTTATGTTGATGCTGTTGAAATGTAATCCGTTGATATTATTGTTAATTCGAAGTTATTTAAACAACATTAATGTTGTTAATAACTCTAATTCATTCACTATTATGGACGCATATAACTGTAGAAGCTGATTAAGAGCAGGTTATCAAAAATGCGAATATTCTCGAATATGTTCAGTAACCAATATGGTTCAGTCACATCACCTAAAGAGACAGTTAATCATCAGAGAAAGAACTTGAAAATGTCAAGACTTTCAAACTTAATAATAATAATAATAATAATAATGGAAGGTGGTAGTATAAGGAACTGAAAAAAGATCATTTTAAATGAGTTGCAAATAATAAAAGTAATAATAAAGATATTACCGATGGTAGATTCAAAGTGACCATCATTTCCTTCTGTACACAGAGACCGGGCTTTGTAAACTCTGACTGACTGGTTTCAACATAGAACTTTACATCGATGTGCAGCAGTTCGAGTCACTACATTGCATGTAGCACACAAAGCACGAGAAGAAAGTAAAAAGAAATGCAAAACAGAGACAGTAAACAGAGATATAAGGCGAAAAGAATAGTAATATCGAAGAACCATATAATTTTATTGGGTATTATAAGTCACAAGGAGTGGACGTATCTGCGCTATGCATTGAAAACGATTTGGAGTCATATCACCAATTTTCCCCAGCCATTGGTGTTTACCGTCCCGAGGACCCCAACCAGGAAGTCTGCATCTTCCTATGTGACTTAAACTAACTATTGTGGATTTTATTGACTAATGAAACCATGTTTTGGTTTTACTACCACTGGCTAACTCTTTTCCAATGTGACCCTATGTCAGCTAGTATCTCCCGTTGTCGAGGAAGGCGATGGTTAGGCATGCGTAACACATGTCCTAACCATCTTAGTCGATGTGACCTCACAGTCTCATCTATTGATTTCCCCTCCTTACCTAGCACTCGACCGATGCCTCACCTCAATATTGATCACCATATTATACCACTTCACACGGAGATAGAACGCAGACACCTATGATCAAACACAGCTAGCCAAGGTTTCATGTCTTCCACTCTCATTAGCCATGTCTCACAACCATAAAGGAGGAGGGTGGAGGCTGCTGAGCAGTACACACGGCCTTTGGTCGATAGTCGTATATCACGTCTACGCTTGAAATGGCGTAAACAGGCATATGCGAAACGAGCCTTCTGTATCCGTGATAAAATTTCGTCAGCGATCAACCCGTTGGAGCTGATGCAACTTCCCAAACAAGTGAAGTAGTCAATGCGCCCCACCAACCACTTCACTCCCTATTTCTAAGCTGGGAGTCAATATAGTCCAGTCCTGTAACATCATCTTACATTTGGTGGGAGCGAATCGCTTGCCAAACATTAGCAGATTTCAGCTCAAGGTGTTCAGAAGACTCTGCATTTTGTCAGCGTCTTCACCTAGGAGTCAGGACTATATCACCTGCATATTCCAAGTCAACGAGATAACAAGTCAATCCCTGAGTCTCTGAAGCGAGTTAGGGTTAAATCCATTAGTATATCTATGGTGAAATTGAATAGAAATGGGGTTAGTTGGCATCCCTGACGGACATCACTAGTCGTCACCAATTCAGATGACAACTCGCCGTAAGCTTTCACCTGGCTCTGATGGCATGAGTTCGAGTAGAATGAGTGCCTTGATCAGTGCAATGTATTTTCTCGGCATTCCCTTCACAGCCAAGCATTGTCATAGTACTTCTCGGTCAACAGAATCGAATGCCGCTTTCAGGTAGGTAAAGAAATATAACGATTGTTGGACACTAGTAAGTATGCCCATGCTCCAGAATCTATCGAAGGATGAATATATAATCCATCAGTACACTGTTTTTCTGGTCTAAAACCTGTCTGGTTCTCTCATGTTTACTTGTTTGCAGGGATTTGATTGTTTATAGGTGTGTGTGATCATGGGTTGACGTTTAACTGATATACTCCAAAAAGTTTTTCTAATTGTTTTTTGTTGTTTTTCTTGTCTCTTCTTAATGTTACATATTTTTTTCTCCTTCTATTCTTCTAGAAAACTGTCTAAATCATGAGCTACCGTTATCTACCGTCATTGATCCGAAATGCCCCGCGTTTGAAGACTAGAGGCATTGAAATTCTACGAGATCCACGGACAAATAAAGTTTGCTTGTGTTTTTTCTCGTTATCTAAAGAATTATTTGTTTTCTTTTTCCTTTTATTTCTTCACTATTAGGGTTCGTCATACAGTTTACATGAACGTCAACTCCTCGGGATACACGGACTTCTACCGCCTAGTTGTCAGGGTCAAGATATAGAAGAACAACGAATTATTTCAAATCTTTACCAGCTAGATGATCACTTGAGTCGTTATATGATGCTTATGTCATTACAGGATCGTAATGAAAAGCTATTCTACAAAGTAAGAATAATAGTAATAATAATGATAATGAAGACTGTAAACAATAGCAGCTCAAAATGAGAAACTACGCCAAATGTTAACGGGTTAATGACCTCAGGCAATTAGTCAGATGAGTCTGTAGTATGTACACGTATATAGGCGGAATTATGATTAAAAACAGCCACTAAAATGCTGTTGTTGTTTTTTTCAAAAGAATGTGGTTACTGAACAAAGAATATTCACATTTTCGATCACTTGCTGCTCATCATCAGGTTCTACAGTTATATATACATAATAATGAATGAATGGACACGACCATATGCACATTTGCAAAGCTTTGTTCCTCTCCGGTGCCAAGAGGAATTTAGTAAGGACCTTCACTCAGCCACACGGTTACAGCTATATGCTCACAAGAGGTAACTGAAGATGAACTTAGGATTGATTGTATATGATACCTTGATTGAAAATAGCTATGCAGACAAATTCATCAGGAAATAAATGACTAAGAAAGTTGAAAGGGACTACTGACTATCAGACAACAAATCAGAAACCTTTATACATACGACTGCAATTTAAGGGCGAAATACCTGGCGAAACAGTTACGAAGTTAAAAAAAATCAGTTCAAAGAAGTTTTATTAGCGAGTTATATTGGCCGTTGCTCTACGAACTTCATTTTTCGTGCTTGCTCTGAGAAACATACCAGTAGAGCTAAATAAAGGTGTAGTGAGATGCATCAATAGCTCGATGCTAGAAAACCTGGTCCTTCTCCATCATCACCAGCTATCGGGTACCATACAAATTGCCAAAACCATCCAGTTACCGCATACTCCAAAAACACTAGCGGCTATTGTGATTTGACTGAAACAACCAGTGATCTTAGATCAGAAGAAATGGTTCCAACCAGTGACTACTACTGTCGTGGACAGCCTTCAGTGGATACTATTAATTCATGAATTTGTATTATTATTATTATTATGTTTCCTAATTTCTCTGATATTCATTCAGTGTATAGTTTTATGTTGATGCTATAGAACTGTAATCCATTGATGTTATTATTATTATTATTGATTCGATGTTATTTAAACAATAACATTTGTGTTGTTAATAACACTAATTGATTCATTCACTATTATGGCTGGATATATATAACTGTAGAACCTGATGCTGAAGAGCAGGTTATCAAAATTGTTCAGGAATTATGAGTGCTGTACACTAATTATGTAACAAATATAAGTACTGCTTAGACAAGAGGCTCCTTGGAAGGGATAAAACGTGTGGGCAACTGTGTCATCCCTAGGCTGACATTCACCATGTTATCAATCATACGGACGATTTCGTTAATGCTTTCGAGACTGAGACTGACACAAATTCCATCGAAGGTTTCTAGAGTTACCTTAAAAAAAGAGAATGAGAGCGGTGAATATTTCGAGAAACACGATGATTTATAGTTATATTACTATGAATTTATGTACGGAAATTGGTTTAACCTGACTATGACGACGCCTATGAAAAGTTGAGAGGTTTTCTTGGAGTATATATCAGAATGTTATCCCTGTGTGACAACAGGAAAGAAACAACCAATCAGATTCCGCTAGTTAATTAGTGGCATTTAATTTTTAAAAAGGGGTATTCATATGTTATATATGTAATAAAAATGAGTTATACACGGTATATATCTGTAATATGCTGCAAAAATTGGTCCCAGTTTCTCATACGATGGTGTCTATAGACGCATCAGAAAAATATCTATACAAAAATTGATCTAAGTGGCCATATACCATACCATACCATTTGGGGAACCATTCTTACCATTCTAATGCTTTTTTCTACATGATCCCAGAATCTTTCAATAGAATTTGTATGGGTTCCACTCATACTACCCACTATTTCAGAAGAATGATCGATTTTATAATGAATATACAGCCTAGTGATGATAGTTGCCAATTACCCTCTCCACTCGTCTGTATTAATGGTAGTGTCTGGGAGGACTAGTCGTTGTATTGTTGATATTAAAACGTCGACACTTCTCTTTGGGATGAGTTCTACTAATCTTAGATTTGTGCCATACAGTTCCAGCACCCAAACATGATTTGTTCTTCTCCTACCAAGGCAATTCAGTTCTCATTTAATAAGTACCGTTTCGTCCATACGAACGACGACACCAATTCCTCCAAGTACAGAAGTAATTCCATTGATGTTTTGTGACGCCATATCCCGACAGTGCTGATACCAGTTATGGCACTGTTGACATTTTGGTTTTCGGTGTTTCTGCAGCTGTAGCAGATACTACTGGTCGCTTCACTAGCCAGTTGTGGCATATACGCAATATTTTACCAAGGGGGAGTTTTGATTTTGAGAATAAAGTATCTAAAAAGTCACTATAATGTACGACTTACCAACTATTACAGATTTCTTCACGTAACGGTGGTTCCGTCTGAATACACAACTACCATCAATAGCCCGGCAATACTTTTGCAGAGTCATTATCTTTCCACCATATATGCATGTTTTAGTCCTTTGTATCAACCGGTTTGCCACAGAGTAGAAGTCAGAAACCAAACCTAATCTGGATAAAATTCGCAACGAAGATTATGAAGAAAAGCATCCGTTTGTAATTCTGAGCCGTGTGATTGCTTGTTTCCTGGTCATTCGATTCTGGTGTCTATTCTTCACTCTTGTCTACTATGTAATAGTTTTTTTTTAACATTGCACTACTTTTATGTAGACGTTTTTTCATGAAATTAAACACTTTCGCTTCAGACGCATTTGAATGATTGGTAGAGATTTGTCAAGGTCTTGATTAATTAATTTCGTCGTGGGCTGCTATCGTTTAGAGTCATCATTATAATAATAATGTAATCAAGTGGTTTCGGTGAAGTTCAAGCATTACGTCTCAGGGATGCGAACGCTCGAATGACGTTGAACGCATACTAGCCGTTGGATGATAACGGGAATTACTGTTACTTTAGCGCCAATATGAACGCTATTCACGAATTAAGGTGTGAATTTCACTCCGACCGCGTTTTTAACTACAGTTCGGTTAGGGTTATAATTAGGGTGGCGAAGTTCAACAATAGCGTCCCAGGAGTGTGAACGCTCCAATGACCTTGAAGACATGCCAGTCGTTGGCTAACGGTATCTGTCATTATCATAGCTGAAATATCAACGCTATTCACCAACTTAGGAGCAAATTTCACTCAGATCACGTTTTTAAGTACTGTTTGGACAATGTGTCAATGGCTCGTTAGGGTTAGGATTGGGGGTAAGGTAAGTATTGGGGTTAGGGTTAGGATCAGGTTATAATTAGCATTAGTGTTAGGTTTGGGGTCTTATTATCGACACATTTTCCTCGTAAGTAGTCTTCGATCCTCTTACTAGAAAGCATAGCAATTCAATCGAGGGCTTCTAGGAGAAGACTGCAGAACAGGATAAAAGTGATAAACGAGTCACACAGAATTATTTCATCTTCAGTCATCTCAGTGAATACACATATGCACAGAAATTGGTCTAACTCAAAAACTGATACTCCATATTCTAATTAAGAGCTACTTTCAGGTCACATCAGAGAAAAAATATCCTGTTTAAATATGTTTTTGTCTGCATTTTCTTGTAAATAAACGTCATTTTGTGTGTGTGTGTGTGTGTGAAAATCTCTTATTTTATGACTGGTTGGCCGGTTCAGGGTCACTCGTGCGTTTGCATACCATGCGCTGTGATACTTTGACTTTGCCGCGGTTTCTAATCTATTTTTGCTACTTCTTCTCTTTCTCCTTTTCAGACTGTTCGAACTCACTTAGAATATTGTCTACCGCTTATCTATACGCCTACTGTAGGCTCAGCTTGTTTGAATTTCGGTTTTGTTTTTCGGAGACCACGGTAAGTGGAGTGTGTGTTTATAACTTATGAGATATTATATTCTTTTGTTTTTAGAGGTCTTTATGTAACTATTCGAGATCGGGGGCATATATTTGCTTTGTTAAACAATTGGCCAGTTGACACGATTAAGGTAAGTCAAATAAACTCTTGAAAATGTATAAAATGAAATCAATTTTTTAGGCAGTGATTATGACTGATGGTGAACGTATATTAGGCTTTGGTGATTTAGGCGCTAATGGAATGGCTATCCCCCTGAGCAAGGCCATTCTTTATGTAGCCTTAGGCGGTGTACAACCACTTCATTGCTTACCTATAATGTTGGATGTTGGCACGAATAACGAAAAACTTTTGGAGGTATTTAAAAAAATTATATATATATATATATTGTTTTGAATTCATTTAACTTAATTATAACTATATCGATTGTTTTTAATGGTCTACTGATTCAATAGATTCAGCTTGTGTATTGTTTATAATAATAATATATTATTATTATTCCCTTGGGTTCCGAGCGGAACATAGGGCTGGCTTCAACGAAACATCTCCACTTTGTTTTATTTAGTGCTGTCCTTTTCAGCTGGGTCCACAACTGCCCATGATCTCCTCCTCCAACTCACTATCTTCTCCATGTCACCCTCGTACCGATGACCCACTCGTCGCTTCACATTTGGATTCTACTGGAGCAGTGGCCTGCATTGAGCGTGATGTCATTTGATGGCCTCCTCAACATATGAATGATGAATCCATCTCCATTTTCTCCCACGTATTTGTTGAGCAGTCGACTGTCGCTTGATTCTTTCACTGTCAGAGTTTCCTGTTGCTAATAGTTTCTGGACGGCCGGCCAGCTGTCCATTTGATTTTCAGTATAGAGTCAGCCAGCGGTTAATAAAAGTCTGTAACTTGTTGAAAATGCTTTTCGTGGCGAGTTGGCCAAGTTTCTGACCCATAGAAAAGCACCAACTGACTGACAGACTTCACTGACACATGTGTTGAATAGAATCCGAATCTTGTTGTTTATGCTGAGGTGGAGTGAAGGAGATTTCCAAACTGATTTCAGGTTGATGAAGGCGTATCTTGCCTTTCTGATCCTAACTGGCCTGGACATCTTCATCCGTTGAGACTGCCTGAGGCCAAAACTGTGCTTCCTAGATAAGTGAAGGATGTAACCTTTGTCAAATCTCTCCCGTTGATAGTGACTGGTGGTGGTGGTCGTCCTTTTTGTTGGTCAGTGGATATCTTCATCACTTCCGTCTTCATCTTCTCTATGTCCACCTGGAGTTTTGCCTTCGCTGCCAGCTTCTTCTGCTAGTTTGTTGGTTTTCGCCTGTGGGTCTTCGAGTTTGTGTGACATTCAACGGCATAAATCATCCACACGCGAAATCCAGGTCTTTTAGAGTCTTCTTATCGGTTTGTTGTGTTTTATAATTACTGAATGAGCAGTTGTACCGATACACCTCCTCTCCATTAGGTGAATTCTTTTGTATTCAGAGTGAAACACAGGAATTCAAATTTAAGCTTTAAAGTCAGATTTCAGATTTGTTGATTGAGGATAGAAGGCTTGAAGCCAATGTCAATCCTTTTCTAGTAAACTGTGCTTGTCCAAACTCCTCTTGAATAATTCAGTTGAGTTCGCTAACACCACTTCTTCTGGGAGTTTAGAACTCTGTGCGAGAACCAATACTCCAAAACAATATAGTTTCTCCTCGGCTTTTGAGCTCTCTTGCTATGTCCTTTAAGGTGTTCCGACTACCTTGTGGGGGAGGAAAAGAGAGAATAGATCAATTCCGTAGTCATTATTTAAGACTTAAAACATTTTAGTTAAATCTCCTCCCTGCCTGCTGTGTGATAAAAAGAAGAGATTTAAGCTGTCTAGTGTTTCCGCCTATGATGAATTAGTCATGCCGAGAATCATACGTGTTGCCTTCCTTTGAACCCTTTCTAGAATATGTGAATCCCCTTTAAAACAAGGACTAGCTGGCTGCCTGGATACAGTTTTCCAGTGTTGACCTCACTAGAGTTGTATATAAGGAGGTGAACATATCTCTGGTGATTCTAGTAAAGGCTCTGCGAATCTAGCAAGCAGTCTATCTATCTGTCGCGATTAACATGCGGTGACACTCCATTTTGGAGAGATAACTTGAAGATCGTGGTCAATGGGCCGGCTATGTGAGCTGATAGCTGCTTGAGAAGCCTTGGATGAAAATGCATATCTAGTAGCGGTGGTATTGTTTTTACGAGGTGGGGTTGCTAGCCTCAGAACCTCCCAACCTTCCCTTCTCTAACTAGGCACACAACTGTCGAAGCAGGTGGTTCTAGCATGAAATGCTATAAGAGATTTGTTAATGTGAATTAAAAATAGAGGCGAATTCTTCCAAGTTTAATCACAAACTGGTGCATCAGTTAGAGAACTATTTGAAAACAAGTAGGGAGTACCGGTCAGCTGTTTCTGGTTTCCTAGTGCTTGGAACCCTTCAGCAGTAGGTATCCATGACCCCACCCACTCTTAGGGATCAGACTCAGGACCTTAAGATTACAAGGCAAGTCTGTTAAGTCACTGTCCCATGAATTTTGACTTCTGCCAATTCGCGATGTATTGCGGCGGGACCGCCAACCAATGCCATCGGTCGGTCGGTTTTCGACATAGAACTTTGCACATATGTGCAGCAGTTCAAGTCGCCACACTCCAGGTAGCACACAAAGCAAGAGAAGAAAGTAGGAGAAATGCATAATATAGTCAGCAAACAGAAGTGTGACACAAAGGAATAGTAATAACGGAAATCATAAGTCACAAGGAGTAGATGCATCTGCGCCACTGAGAACGATTTTGAGCCATGTCACCTATTGTTCCCAACCATTGGTTTTTACCGTCCCGAGGACCCCAACCAGGAAGTCTAAATCTTCCTACGTGGCTTAGACTAACTGTTGTGGATTTCATTGACTGGTGCCATGTTTTCGTTTGACCGCCGCTAGCTCTTTTCCAGCCTGGCCCTATATCAGCTAACATTGCTCGTCGAGGAAGGCGATGACTAGGCATACGTAGCACATGTCCTAACCATCTCAGTCGACGTAATTTCACAGTCTCGTCGACTGATTTCCCCGCCTTACCTAGCACTCGACGCCTAACCAATGCCATCGGCGGTTATTTGTCCCCACATAAGTCTGTCTACTCCAATGTAAAGCCATATGACCAAGAGTCTTCAACCATTGATTCTCATTACCTAAAGGATTCCAACCAGACAGCTTACACTCACCCCACATATCTAATACCAACAGGCAATTCATAGTTTAATTCAATTCAGGAAGTCAATGGCTAAGTGTAAGTAAATGTGTAATGCATGTCCTAACCATCTCAATCGGTGTAACTGCTTCACAACCTTGTCAATTGATTTCCCCTCCTTAGCGCTCGACCGATGCTTTACCTATATATCACTCACCGTGTTACACCTACCACTTAAGGTGGAAGGTAAAACTCAGACACGTATGATGAAAGACAGCTAACTAGGTAGCCTTTTCGTATCTTCCACTTTCAATGGCTATATCTCACAGTCAGCCAACCAGCCATAAAGGAGGACAAAGCTAATTGTTGCTAAGCAGTACACACGTCCTTTGATCGATAGCCGACAAGCCAACCAGATATCACGTCTATTAAGTCACAGAGAGAGAGAGATGGTGTAAGAAAAATGCCAAACGAGCCTTCTGTATGGGTGCTGAGTTTTTGCCAGCGATCAGACCAACCCACTGGCGTTGGCTGATGAAACTCCCCAAATAAGTGAAGTGGTCAACAAACTCTACCACTTCACTCCTCCTTATCTTTAAGCTAGGAGTGAGTCAATATAGCTCACTCCTGCGGCATTTGATAGCAAAAGTGAATCGCATGCCAAACATTCGAAGATTGCTGCACAGCTCAAGGTGTTCCGAAGACTATGCTCTATTTTGTGAGCGTCTTCACCTAGTTGGGAGGACTATATCATCTGCATATTCTAAGCTAACGAGATTATTATTATTCCATGGTCAAGTAACAAGTCAATCCCTAAGTCGTTGAAGTCAGTTAGGGTGCATCTATGATGAAAGTAAACAGAAATGGGGACAATGGGCATCTGCCGGACGGATACCATCGGTTGTCATCAGAGTTGTCAGATGACAACTCTCCGTAGGCTGTCGCTTGGCTGGCTGGCTGACTACATGAGTTCGAGTAGAGTGAGTGCCTTGATCAGTGCAATGTATTTTCTCGGCATTCCCTTGACAGCCAAATATCACCATAGTACCTCTAGATCGACGGAGACGATTGACGTTTTCATGTGAAGAAATATGATGATTTTTGGACACTAAGAAGTATGCCCATTCTCCAGAATCTTTCGAAGGGTGAAGATATAATTGATCAGTACACCTTCGTCGTGGTCTGAAGCCTGTCTAGTTCTATCGTGTTTGTTTCTCACGTACTCCGTTTAGTCTATGATTACTGAGTCTAGAACTTTAGATATCATATTGGTTAAGCTAATCCCCCTGTGATTATCACAGTAGAACTTCTCTTCCTTCTTGTATATCGGGATAACCAACGACTTACACCGGTCTAGTGGGACTATATCTGACTTCCAGACATTGTCTAGTGCTTTGGTTAACCCAAATAGCAATCTATCGCCACCATCCTTATACACCTCAGGAGTTATTCCATCAGGTGCCACTGCTTTTCCTCGTTTCAGACTAGTGATAGCTTTTGTAACCTGAGTTAGGGACGTAGTACCTATGTGTTTATATCGCATTCATGGAGGTGTTGGGTGCTGGGTAAGTTGAGTGTGTGTGTGCGACTTGCCCTATTCAGGTAGGTAGTTTCCTGGGGTTCCAGTGGGAAGTCGTGACCAGTAGGGTGCAGCAGGTCGGGTGTGAGGACAAATACTCGCCAAAGACATTAGCTAAGGGTCGCACTATATCGTGAATTGGCAGAAGTTAGAATTCATGGGCCATTGGATCGGGTCCCAGTGGCTTAATGGCATGCGAGCTCGCCTTGTAACCAGAAGGTCCTGGGTTCGAATCCCGGGTGGGTGCGTACTACTGAAGAGAACCAAACTATGATGAAACAGCTGTCCAGTACTCCCAGGTTTTCCAATGGTCCTCTAACTAATGTCACCTCATGATGAAATCCTGTAACCAATTAGTCCAATTGAATTGTCCCTCAAAGTGTTCTTTCCAACGTTGTAGTCGTCTGTCTTGAGAGCAACCCTAATAATGGTTCCACTTTTCTCAGAGATAGTTTCACTTATCGTTTTCCTTTTGCCACCTGTTTCCGTGATAAGTCTAAATAGTTTTGTCTGGTGTTACCTATAGCAATGACATATATTCAGTATTCACCTACTGATTGTTAAAACGTTATCTCTTTTGTATGCTTGTAAATTTTCTTTTCATTAGGATGAATTTTATGTTGGTCTACGAAGAAAACGTGCAACTGGCGAAGAGTATATCTCGTTTATGGATGAAGTGGTTGAAGCATTGTCTGCACAGTATGTTATATTAATAATTTTGTTTTGCAACTACAATAATAATAATATTAATTACTAATGTATGTATTCATATAAATCTTCTAGCTATGGACCAAATGTTTGTCTGCATTTCGCTGACTTTAAAACTTCAAATGCTTTCCAACTTTTAGAACGATACCGTTCCAATTATATAACATTCAATGATGATATACAAGGTAAGCACAGGGTTATAAAATTACTCAGAGAATAATTATATTCGCGTGTTGGTTTGCAGGGATTTGATTGATATCAGGATCTATTTCATCATGAACTAACATCGGTTGGAGAGGATTATTGGAAAATCTGCTGGCAGTACTGCCAGCCAGTTGAATATCAATCTGATACCCACCAGTCATTGACCCTATTCAAGTAGCCAGTTCTAGTGGGAAGTCATGGCCACTGGGGTACAACAAGTCGTGTGGTCGCGCCATATCATGAATTTACAGAAGTTGAAATTCATGGATTATGGACCATTGGATCGGGTCCCAGAGAGCGTGGCTTAATTGTCTATCAGCTGTCTTGCTTTGCAACCAGAAGGTTGTGGGTTCGAACTTCACTGGGTGCGTACTGTTGAAGAGTCAGTCCCAAACTAGGCGGACGAATCAGCTGTCTGGTTGTACTGCTTGCAGGTTTTCCAGTGGTTCTCTAACCTATATCAGTTCATAATGAAATACCAGAATAATTATGGATAAATGCTTTTCTTATTGATTATCTCTCAGATAGGCACTGCTGTCTCAGTGTCAAAGACATGATCTATTATCTATCTTTTGTTCTCGTATGTCTTCGCATTTCTAGTTGTACCTGACAACAAAAATAAATTTAGATGAACTGGTTTGTTTAGTAAGAAGACAGGAATACATTGGACTGATAATAAGACTCTATGGAAGATGTAGACTTTGTAAAACCAAAAGATCGACAGAAGAGGCTAGCAGCGAAGACCGGTGGACTTCAAGTGAACATATACAGGACAGAGGTGATGAAGATAACTAACCGACCAATCACCAACAACAATAACAAGCACCAGTCACTGTCAGTGGGAGAAATTTGAAAGAGGTTACGCCGTAGAGCATCTGTCTGACCACCGAGAAATAAATCAAGTTGATAAACCAGAAAAGCTTGAAAAATCATCAGCCATTGGTCGTCTACACGCTACGCTATAGAATCAATCTGGTCAGAAAATTGATTTCGACAATATTGAAATCATAATCCAGAAATAGTTCCGGAAATTACAATGAACGTCTCATATCATCAGAAGCACTCCACATCAAATGGAATCCAAATTGTCTGAACTGAATAGGAATGATGGACTGGAACAGAATTTGACCTGGTTACAACACCCCCTTCCCCCATGGAATGACAAAATCAATACGGATGTGATAAGCACACGTTGCTCTTGTATAATTTTACACACCTATCAAATCCAACAATCTACACCTGGTTTTGTTATCTTTACCAGTTGGCCAACTTGACAACAACGTAAACAGAATTACCCCATTCTGATGAATGATGATGAAGTTGTTATATGTATATAAGCTGAGATTTTGTGAATTCTTCTGGTTTAATATTACTCCTTTGATAAAGCTATTAGCAGCAGCAGCATTAAATAGTGAAACGTCGTCAGTAAAAGCGACAATATCGTTTTGTTTTTCATCATTCATTGGGAAATACAAAAAGAACTTTTATAATAATGAATATATCATATACTCGATGCCCAAATTTTTTCAAACGGTTATAAGTGATCTTGGTTTCGACATGTATATAACACAGAATGTCAAATTCAAGACTGGGAAAGCAAGACAGACATCCCTTCCTCTGAAATCAGTTTGGAAATCTTTCTGAATCAGCATAAGGAACAAGATTTGGATTGTCAATACCACTGTTAAGTCAGATCTTTTGCACATAGTTCAGAGACTTGATACGTCTGTTATCAAAAGTATTTTGGACAGGATTCAGACTTAATTCAATTCCGTCTACTGATTGGATCGAAGTGCTCGGTCGGCTCCTTGTGCAGATGCTTCGACAATGTCTGGCTATGTAACTTGAAATCAATTGGTGGATGGTGATTAGCATTGGTGGAATCCAGGATGCGCATTTCGACCTTTTTTGGACTCGTCAACTGGATGTACCTGCACTCCGCAGTGAGTGATGGTGTTCCCGCCGAGGCTCGAACCCAGATTCAGACTTTTATTATATGAGCAGTTACTCCTTCACTGCCTGCATACGGAAGATAAGGTGGCCAACTGAAAAAAGATGGGTAACTAAAAACTATGCAAAAGAAAAGTGCCAAGAACCTATCAGCCAACGAATATATGCTGCATAGGAAATGGAAATGGATTGGACACACGCAGAGGGAAGACACTGTTGAGTGATTTCATGCGTCAGGCCGGCTCTCCAGCGGAAGGTGTATAAGAAACAGTGACTTAAGCCTTGATCCGAGTGTGATATACATGATGGAAATCGTTTGAGGAGGAGATAAGAGCTTATTGGCAATCGTGGATCTAGGCTATCTGTTGATGACTGCTCACACAGAACAGAATGAAACGGTAACGGGCTGCTGAAGCCTCTATGTTCCACTCGGAACTCATGGGAAAAAGATGCTGAGGATAATAATGATGATGATTTGTAAACACGTGTCTATAATAGTAGTGTAACAACAGAAGACAAGGGCCAGGCAACAGATCGTTTATTAAGGAAAATCAACACATATTTATAGACTTTAATGTACATTATTGTAGATTATTGTTAGTAGAAAATACAGTCTTTTGATTGATTGTTTCTCACAGAAAGTTAACCTTGCATATCTTTGTGGCTGTGTCAGATCATCCATATGCTAACTGTATCCGCCTACGCAAAGCCTTTGTTCTCATTTTCTCACCACCAATATTGGGGACATAAACATTGACGTCAATTACTGTCTACCAACTTTGGCTAGCAGCCAGCTCTCACCACAGTAGTATTTCTCCTCAAAAGTACTAAGTACATGTCTGTTAGCTTTGTCGACTGGTCAAGTTTCAACTAAACATGTTCCATGCACCAGATTTTTGTCTTAAGGTGTATGTTACTGGTACATAGAAATAGAAACCGTAGAGACAGATGAAGAGGACTGCAAGAGACAGTATGAAATGCAGATCTACTGTTGAAGCCTGGAACCTTAGAATTCGCTTACAAAATCATTGTTACTGAACTTACACAAAATTAGATGAAATAATTTATAGCAAGAGCAACAACTGTGGTTTGTGGGGTTCTCATCAGCTGTGTACAGGCTGAAGAAATTAATTAAGTTTACGTAAAGGACAATGTTTCGTGAATATCGATTGATGAGAGACTCTAAAACTAATAAACAGTGCTCAGAAATTACACTTATTTAGCCGAGATAAGATCAGGTTGGAAAAGAGCGGTGGTCAAACCGAAACATGCCTTCATCAGTCGATGAAATCCAAAACAGGTTAGTTTAAGCCAGCCAGCCAGCCATGTAGAAAGGTGTAGATTGCCTAACCGCCTGGTTGGAGTCTTCTGAATCGTAGGCACCATCAATATAGGTTGGAGACAGTCGGTGATATGGCTGAATATTGATCTTGGTGATGACTGACGTCTGCGCAGATGCAATTACTCTTTTTCCATATTACTACTCTTTTCGCCTCACTCACACTTCTGTTTACTATCTCTCTTTTGAACCTATTTTCTCTTGCTTTGTGTGATACGCGGAGGGAGTGTGGCAACTCGAACTTGTGCACATCTGTCCAAAGTTCTATCTTGAATCCAGTCAGTCAGTAAGTCAGTCACACTTATATAGTTTATCGGCAGGAAGTTCAAGTTTAAACAGAAAATTAGTGCTTAGATAAAGTGGGAAAGGAGTTGCCTAATAAAGACACGAGGTGAATAATAGGATAACTAACTAATAAATATGGTGAGTTCAACTCAAGTCATAGAACCAAGAGACAAGGCAAGTTACGCTATAGCGAAAGCAGGGGGGAGGTAAAAATTAAAGCCAAACATTACATAATCACATGAACCTTTGTTCTTGCTTTATTCAAACTCATAAAGGGCAATCAGTGTATGAATTTTCTGAAAAATCTCCTTCCTGCACGATCTTTGAAATCACCAAAATCACTTGGTTATCCCACAGAAAATTAACTCGGGTGAATTTTTTTTAACTGATGTATGCTTTAAGTCTCACTGCTTTCCTCGTTAACTCATCAAATCACTACATACTCACAAAATATCTACCTTTCTCTCTCTCTTCTCGACGTATTACTAAATCGCATATAGACTCACCAGAATCGCTAATTTGAAAATTGAGATCTGAAGCCTTATCCTTCGATGATGTAGGCGATAGTTGGAGTATAGTTTACCGGATCAAGTTTACCAATTTCACTCAGGATCTTCAGCAGAACTCGGTCCAAATCTTTGACATAGCAGAAATTGTATTGCTAGTAGCCGAAAATTCCTAAGAAGTTTATCTATAATCTGTCAGGTTTTCAAGTTGAATCGAATTGAAATGGAAGCGCTTTCAAATATTCCGAATAAACTTCAACGACACTACATCTATCAGTTCATTTATATGATAGATTATGGTGTTGGTGAGATATCACTACTGATTTCAGTAGTAGTTATCCCTAACCGCCTGTCTGTTATGCAGAATGATATATATATATATATATATATATATATATATATATATATATATATAGCTTTTAACTTCAGCTCACCGTAACCTTAGGCCCCACAGGTCATTGGATTTTAAATCTACTTGATAGTTATTGATTATTGGAGTGGAACAGATATATAATATGCAAATGCCCAGCTCAATAGTATTCCGTAGGTCCAAATAACCTTGAACTGAGTAAAAACCTCTATTCCCTAATGTTTTTGACTTCAAGTATTTACAATATCATACTTTGACTATAACTCATTTTGATGTCTGTGTGCGTGTGTTTGTCAATTGACTAGGTTCTGCTGTGACTGTTGTCTCCGGTCTGATAACTTCCACAAGAAAGACAGGCAAACGATTATCACAGAACGTCTATCTATTCTATGGAAGTGGTGGGGTAGGTTTCTCGCTAATTTCTCAATCTTTTATCCCTACTATTATTATCTATGTGTAATATTTTTGGAGTTTCGCGTCCCTGAATATTAGAACAAAACATATAAGCTGACAATATTATTGTTTTCAGTTGGTTTTTTTTCAGGCTCTACTCTAATTCATAGAGCTTTACATGTACAAAATTTAACTACCACTAGCTAGCTCTTTTCCAACCTGATCGATCGTATAGCGCTTAGCATCGCCTGTCGGTAGAGGAAGGCAATGGCTAGGTGTAGAGCATAACACATGTCCTGACCATCTCAGTCGGTGTAACTGCTTCACAAACTCATTGTCGATTGATTTCCCTCCCCCATACCTAGCACTTGACCTAGGCTTTACCTCAATATTGCTCACCCTCTAACACCTACCACCTACCTATCACGGGAGATAGAACTCAGGTACCTATGATCAAAGGTAGCTAGCTAGCTAGGTAGTCTTTTCATATCTTCCACTTTCAATTGCTATGTTTCACAGTTAGCCAGACAGCCATAAAAGAGGAGAGAGTGGACTGGTGAGCAGTACACACGCTCTTTTGTCGATAGCCATCCAGCCAATCAACCGGATATCATTTCTACTAAGCCAGAGAGAGATGGCGTAGGTCAAGTTGTCTGAAAAATGCCGAACGAGCCTTCTGTATCCGTGTTTACTGAAGTACGTAAAGGCGACACGTATTTGTGTTATGTCAGATAGCTTTGTTTGTTTGTGTGTGTGTGTGTGTGTGTGTGTTTAATCTTACTTTTATTTAACGCTGTAAATTATGCATGTTTTTAACAGTTTTACTAAAAGTGTCTCATAAATTTCTTATATTACATAGGCCAATGATGATGTAGAATACTCGGCGGTAAATATAAAATGCCTACAAGGCATTTACCTTGTTAAATGTTTCAATGTTCCAGTTGGATTATGTTGTACTGTTCTATTTGTTTGTTGTATATTTTGTCTTGTGATTGTCTGTTAGAAAAATTCTGTTTTTTTTTAAACAAAAGTTATGGTATCGTATGGTATGACAGGTGCATGCTGATATTTTTTATTTTGAAATTGTTATGCGTCTTCCTGTTTCACGTTGCTTTAACCTATTCGTTCAGTTGGTGTGAACTGTTCGGAAATCGATACTTGACACGTACACTTGGATTCCGAGTAGACCATCGGATTTCAACAGTACATCGTCATTTCATCCTGTCGGCTTTTTAGTTGACTCCACGATTGTCCATATGCGGCTTTCATCTTTTCCGTACACAGTCGTCTTCATGCCCACGATCCAACGTCTAATTCGTCGTTTCTCATTTACCTTCCATTCGAGTCATGACCCGGCACGTGATATATACCACTCAATGATCTCTTCAGCGTGTTTCTGATGTATCCCTATTTTCTTGGGAATATTTGTTGGTTGGTTCTATACCGCAGTTGTTTGATACTTTAACTGAACTAGTAACCAGTGTCGTGCGTCTTGCCCTTGGTGGTTTGATGTACGCTGAATTCTATGTGTATGTAATGTATAATGTGTCCACCAACAGGTTTAGTGGATCGCCACCACTGGGTGACACTGGTTGTAATATCAAGACATTAGAGACACACACCTTGCTGGCTGGTTGATGACTGCCAACAAACACGAAAGCTAGGTCTAGACAGGGATTCCTGTGGCCTCCAACCATCTAGTAATAACAACAACATTTCTCAGTTCACCGTGATGACGAGTCACCTAGCCTGTTGGTGGCTACACTGCAAACTTGACTGATAGAATGCAGTCTGCACAAAACAAAGGACTAAGTCCAGTCCTTCAGGAGGTCAATTGCCAACCCGAATAGCTCAGTAGTAACGCCTCTGACTGCAGTACTCACTGAGTGACCCGAGTTCGAATCTCAGAGAAGGACATGATTCCCTTAAAGACATTGCAGATACACCTTGCTCACGGATGCTCCTAACCATCTAATAGTAGCTATTCAGAGTTCTTTGATTCCTATCCTTTCTAATTACCCGATCTTCAATATGCAGCTAGTGAAGGTGGCTGTCAGCTGTAGGTCTAATGCTCTTCGAAATGCTTTTGGTGACAGGCACTCCTAGTCTCTGAACTATATAAAAGCACTAACTGATTTTTAAAATCCGAATCTTGTTGTTTATGGTCATAAAAGCCGATTTCCGCACTAGTTCCAAGTTGGTGAAGGTTTGTCTTATCTTTCCAGTGCTGACTTTGACATTCTTATCCGTTCTATCAGCCTGTAGTTGAAACGATGGTGTCTCGATAAGTGAAAGAATTGACTTCATCGGTTCGAAATTCTTACTGCATGTCCGAGTGTTGGTTTGCGGAGATATGACTGGCTTCAGGATTTCACTATGAGCTGACATCGGTAAGACAGAACCATGAAACCAGTGGTGGGTACACCAACGTGGGTGTGAGGACAAATACTCGCCACCGATAACATTGGCTAGTGCCAGTCGTGCTATGTCGTGAATTGGATATTCATGGGCTGGCCATTAAATTGGTGGGTCTCACTCGTTTAAAAGTTGACGAGTTCGTTTTGTAACCGCAAGGTCCTGGGTTCGAACCCTGGCGGTGTGGGTGCTAACTACTGAAGAGTCCCAATTTAAGGCGGCTGACGAAACATTTGTCCGACAGTACTCTTAGCTGGTTTTCCAATGGTTCTCTAACCGATATCAGCTCATGATGAAATCCTTATTGCATGCAGGAGATAATACTTCGTTACTGACATATGTCATTGTATTTAATGTTACATCTTCCCGCAGATGGAGTAGCATCCCCTTTTGTATTAGATCAATATATATATATATATGTATTAAGAAGCAAGTGAAGCAGAACAAGCTACAGGCAAAGGAGACATCGCAACACTCTACCAAACAACTAGGTTCCTATCGAGGAAGAGATCAACACAAATTAAACCAGTGAAGGATGAAAATCGAAAGTCAATCACCAAAGAGGTGGAGCAAAGGAAACACTGGGCTGAACACTTTAGAAGACTTCTAAATCGACCACCACCTACAACGCGCCCAATAATACCAATGGCGGAAGCTAAAATACCAGTGAACATCAACTTTCCGACAAGAACAGAAATCCCGAAGGCAGTAAAGATACTAAAAACTGGAAAAGCAGCGTGACCAGATGGAATCCCTTCAGAAGCATTGAAAATGGACTCAGAGACATCAGTGGACTTGACGACGCGACTACTGGAGAAGGTGTGGAAAGAGGGCGAAGTACCTGTGGATTGGAAGAAAGGCTACCCATTCAAACTGCCAAAGATAGGAGACTTAATTCAATGCAAGAACTTGCGCGGCATTATGCTCCTGTCCATCCCAAACAAAATACTCAACCGCATCATCATGGAGAGAATCAAACAAACCCTAGGTGATAAACTCCCATCACAACAGGCTGGATTCAACAGGAACAAGTCATGCATCAACCAAATCGCAACACTACGGATCATCATTGAACAGAGCTTGGAATGGCAGTCGTCTCTCTACATCATTCAACTTCATCAACTTTGAAAAGGCCTTCAGCAGACAGCGTCGGTCGAGAGGTGATTTGGCAACTACTTCGCTACTACGGTGTGCCGCCAGCAATTATACATCTCATCCAACAGTTGTACGACAATGCTGCGTGCCAAATAATCGACAACGGGAAATTCACGGAATCCTTCGAAGTGAAGATAGGAGTAAGACAAGCTGGCTGCCTACTATCTGCAATGAGTTTCCTGATTACGGTAGACTGGATAATGCGACTGACAGAGGTGGGCAGCGAGGTAATAGGCATAAAATGGACCCACGCAGAAAAAGAACTTGGAGGATCTGGACTTCGCCGATGATATGTCTGACTCCCCACAAACTGGAAGATATGCAAGTGAAAAGCAACAAGTTGTCAGAAGAAGCATCAAATATATGAGTGACTTCAGGTGAACAAAGAGAAAACCGAGGTGATGATGAAGATTTCTGGTCAACAGCGACAACAACAACAATCAACATAAATGGAAGGAATCTGAAAGAAGCAACCTCCTTTACCTACGAACCTGGGAAGCATCATTTCAACTACAGGTGGACGGAACTGATGAGGATATCATCAAAGCGAAGATTGGGAAAGCAAGGCAAGCTTTCATTTCTCTCAAGTCTTTATGGAGGTCAATAGCACTTGGCATGAAAAATAAGATCCGAATTTTCAACTCCAATATGAAGTCAGTACTACTTTATGGGTCAGAGACTTTGCGCCGCACCGCGTCACGAAGGGCACTTCGAACAAACTACAGACCTTCATCAACATCTGTCTTCGCTCAATACCACTCAAGACGATATGGCCGGTCAGAAAGGATCAGCAACAGGGTGGCAATGAATGAACCAACCCAGCAGGAACCGATTGTGCAACAGATATGCAGGAAGAAATGGAGTTGGATTGGCCATACTCTGAGAAAATCACCAAGTGAGTGACGTCGTATACCAGGCTCTGGAGAGGAACCCGAATTGGAAGCGGCGAGTTAGTTGATCGTCATTGCGAGGGTGGGGTGACATGGAGGAGATCATGTGAAGAGCAGATGAAAGCATGTGGGCAGACGTGGAGTCAGGTGAAAATGTTGGTAGAGATCTGAACGCAATGGGGACGTACCTCTGAAGCCCTATATTCCTCTAGGAATTAAAAGGAAAGACTAATATTAATAATATATAACCTAAAATGAATTCCTCTGTGTGTGTGTTTGCCATGTCAGTAAATGTCATTGACCTCATTACTTCTCCTTGTCATGTTTTCATTACTTAGAATAGCATATGTATACATATAATATATCCTCCAAGTGTCGCGGTCATTCTGTCTACCAATGCATTGTAGAATTGTTCATAATTCCCTTCATAAACTCATAAACCATGACTTTTATGATTATGATACAATTTTTTGGGTATCGGGATATTTACTCAATGTAGATTATTTTTCCCCCTACGGGTTGCATGCACTTCCCCACATGTAGTGGTGATACAGTAACACTGGTAACTGGATGATGACGTTTCGAGGACAATTCACTGCTACTCACAATCATGCATCAGTGTATGGCAACTTACCTCCATTTCTCTGACGGTTTATTTTCTTTTGTGTTTTTTGGTAAAATTTTCAATAGATATCTGGTTAAGGTGTTGCGTCGGTTCATTTGCACATATTTAGCGTTGATTCAATGAACACCTAAGCATATATTACCTTTCGATATAAGGATAAAACTTTGGCACTCTGGTGGTAGAGTACAACTCCATTATGGATAGAATTTTATTTTGATAAAGTGTCACACAGTGTCTGTTGTACAGTAATATTTACTGATGACCACGTTTTGGGCACAATTTATTACTGCTCATAATCATATCAAGGCAGAACTCACTTTCTTGCTTCATTTATATACATGAGTAGAAATTGATGATTAGACATTTGATTGAATAAAATCAACAATATAAGATAAAGTACATTCGGAAATAATAATATTAGTTTTAAAACAATTAGTTCCCTTTATGAATTTAGATAAAGCAATAAGAAGACGTAATTTGTTTGAATCGTGTAATGTATTTGCGCAACACATTTCGAACAATCTGATCACACACGGACTTGTCATAGGAATATATATGAAATTAATAATGACGTCACATCCCACTGTATTTACCAATTTGAATGTATGTGTGGACACACATACATAGGGAGGACTCATCGATCTCTGCAAGTAAGGGCTGGCTTCAGAGCATATTCCTAAATGACTCCAGAAACAAATGGAATCTTCAGAACCTATTAATGGTGAGAACAGGAGACCTAGCTCCTCTATTGGGAAACATATTGCAGAGGAGACAGGACATAAAATTGACGTTAACAGGTCTTTTAAACCTATCTATAAAACGTGTTTGTGGCGTATCCTAAAGTTTGTGAAAGCCCTAGCTTGCAATTAGAAAGTTTAAACCACCTTTATGCGTTCAAAAACAATTCGTCATCACATTAAACCTACCTTGGTAAATTTTGTTTTGATACCATAGCAGATGTACTATTACCTCTGTTATTTGGTTTAGTGGTCTTCATTGTTACTTTGACCTTGAATATGTCCTTTTAACTTGACCTTAGTCTATTTTCTCACCTCTTAAATCTTTATTAATATCATATGTATTCCTATGACAAATCCGTGTGTGATCAGATTGTTCGAAATGTGTTGCGCAAATACATTACACGATTCAGACAAATTACGTCTTCTTATTGCTTTATCTAAATATTAGTTTTATCAATAAAATACGATAAGATGGGAAGGGAAATAACATGTTATAATGCGTCGGTGGCACAGTGGTTAGGACTCTCGCCGACCATGCACATGGTCCGGGGTTCGATCCCCTGCCGGCGCACACTCGATATCTATGGTCGGCCTGAATTTGGGCTACCGATATCCATGCTGAAAATTCCACACTTGTACTGAAAATACGGTGTGGAATCAAGCTGTAAATCAAAATAAAAAATCAAAATAAATAAAAAAATAATGTGTATGTGAATTGAAAATAGTATTTTAGCATTATTTATTATCCTGCTCTGATTTGACTGACTGACCGGTGGTAATAATATCTTCCATATCTCTGGTATTAGCTAGCGATGATGACGACGAGTCACTTCTTTTGCATGTGTTGTGTTGGGTGTGTAGACTCGATGATCCAGGCGGGATTCAGTCAGTAATCAATCTCTCTCCTTTTCTCTCCCCCCTACCTATATTACTTTTTAGAATTTTGAATCTGTCCTACCCACCCCATTGTGTGGTTGTGTGTTAATGCATACAGTGCCATGTAGTGCTGAGTTGTCTTCTAAATTACTTATCATCGTGGGATCAATCATCCTAACCTTAGCTAAATTGTTATGTTCTGACAGCCAATCTCACTACCCCTGCCTGATCTACTAGTTTGACCTATGTAGGTAGTTGACCTAACTCACAATCATTGCAAGGTATTTTGTAAATTATATTATTTTGTTTAATTGGGTCAAACGAAAGGGTCCCTTAACCTACAGAGATTGTCCCTGAGTGAGTTTGTAGGTTTAAATACCACCACTCTAATTCCTACTTTATTAAGAATCCTGCGTAAGGTCTCAGATGTCCCCTCCCTCTTTATGTGGTAAAACTGTAGATGCTCTATATTCTCTCTTATTTATGTTTTCACTATTAGTTTCCCCGTTATTTATATTTTGCTTTTCACTTTTTCTGATCTTCCTAATGAATTTTATAGGATAGTTATTTGACACCAACCCTTCTTCTATCTGTTTCATTTTATCGTTTAGGTTTTTTGTTGTACTGCTCAGTGCTATTGCTCGGTTTGTCAGACACTTAACCAAGCCTGCATTTACAGACAACGAACGGATGAGATGAATTAAAGTTTAAATATCTATTAGCAGAATGTGTTGGCTTTTTATAAACGCTAGTGTGCAGTTTACCTTCTTCTCTTCGTTTTATTTTACAATCTAACACCATAGCTAATCCTCCTTCATTTTCCGATTCACATGTGAATTTTATTCTCTTTACTAGTGAGTTTATGTGTTTGTGTGTGTGAAGAAGCTAGAGAGAGAGAAATGTTCTGTTTTTAACACATATTACCTTTCAATAATTCCTCCCTGTCTCAGTCCCAATGATATGGTTACATGCAAGTGAATACATTGCCAATGGCTAGTATTTTTCTCCTAGATCATTTAACTTGGTCAATAATTCTAGGTTTAGCTATATTTGCTATGTTTCGATAATCTAGTTGACCCCAGTCTATTGGTTTGACCAATAGAGTTCACAGTCATCGGATAGTTTCTGCCTCCTGAAGAAAGACTTCTCAACCTAGGATATGCAGACGATATTGTCTTACTGTACCAGAGATAGCATACAGGCTGCCTAAATAGCACCTAATTGGTTTGACTATCAGTGTCTGTAAGTATGGTGTGTGCTTTTCACTGTCTAACTGCAAAGTAGTACTGTTACAAGATTGGCAGGAGCCTGTACTTGCATTCACTCTTGCTGCAGGTGAACCGCTTGAAGTTGTCTATAAGTTCGTATCATGGTAAAAGCTATAGTGGCATACGTAAATTTGAGCCACATCTGGTGGAGTCGCGGCGACTCTGCGTATTCCATCGTCTGTGTCTATGTAGAATTGCTTGCATTCGGTGGTATCATCGTGTGAATAATTCTGAAGTCTGGCATTGTGTGTTTGGACACAGCGAAGATCATCATTCATTGAATTTCGTCATCTGGAAATCCGGCTTGGGTGGCTCAGATGCATGTTTCGAATTTCATTCCAGAGATAGGCTTCCATATTGTTCTCTGTTCGCTAGCCCTGGGACTGGTTGAGAAAAGTGGAGAGATGGTCAGTCTTGGCGTGACTTGGCGTTGTGTGTTGACGGATATTTGTGGTAGGTTAGCGTGATCGGTTGGTACGTCACAACTCCCTGGTTGGGGTCCGAGAGATAGCTCTAATCGGTGGCTCACTCGAAACGTCATTGGATATGGCGAAGAATCGCAGTCATGAATGGCGAACGTCGTGCTGCAATTTCCATCTCTCTTCTCTTGCTGAAAATAGTTCGACTGCCTTCTTCCCAGATGAATTCCTTCAGTACTTATTATTAATATTTTTCATATGTTGTTTTATTATTGTTATTGTGTGGCGCATCTTCTTGCTGTCATATTGTACAAGGTTTTGTGTTTTAAATAACAAAAATGGTAAATTTCATTATTCTTCCTTAATTTGATCTATTAGGTCCTTAAGCCGAAAAAGTTTATTTTTGGTAAAGGTTGGCTGGCTTGTTTAAATGCCAACCTAATTCCAGACTCATTGAGAATCCTAATTAACGTCAGTACTAACCACTACAGGGCCTTTGAATTCCTAATTGTTTGCATGATTATCATTATATTACATTACTGTTCTTATTTTCCTTATGGCGGGGGGGGGTCTTCATACATTATTCAACAAAATCTGATGGGTAGTTATCTACTATTAACATTTAAATCTTCTAGCTTACTAGTTAATCTCCTGGCCCGATTATATAGACATGTAACTAAACCTTTCTGTACCACTGATTCTTCTGGATTAGAAGAATGAAAGTCTAAGTATTTATTAGATTGTGCGTGTCAGTTTCCTATAAACGCCAGCTAGTATCTAACCTCCCACCGTCTTGTTTCCGTTTTATTTTAGAGTCTAGCACAGCTACCGCCTCACCCTGTCCATTTTCTAACTCAAAGGTGAATTGAATTCCATCTACTACTATAGCTTAATGGTATGCGAGCTCGCCTTGTAACCAGAAGGTCCTGGGTTCGAACCCCGGTTGATGCGTACTGATGAAGAGTCCCAAACTAGGACGAAACAGCTGTCCAGTACTCCCAGGTTTTCCAATGCTTATCTAACCAATGTCAGCTCATTATGAAATCCTGTAACCAATCAACCAAATCCCTACAAACCAATATTTGAATGCTACCATTGAGTTTACGTGTGAAGAATGTAGGGATGAGTTCAAATTTGAGCACAGTCGGATGACCAACGTGATTTAGCTATGCTAGACTGTAAAATCAAACGAAAATAGGATAGTGAGATAGATGCCTAGCATCTATGTAAAACAACTTATGAAACCCTGTGTGAATAATACATTGATTTATCATTATGAACAGCAGTGAATTGTCCTCGAAATGTCATCATCCACTTACCAGTTAAGTGTATCACTCATTGTGTGTTATACATTTATAAAATAAACTTATCTAATGTGGAATTGAAGGAAATTAAAAGACAATTCAGTGGAGAAAATGCTTCTCTATCGATGAAATCATCTTCATGGCCTGGCTGTATTAGTCGTATTTATTATATTTGCCAAAAATGTATACTAGTCCATTATTGAGTAACACGGGGTGGGGGTGACATAATTGATGTAATTACTCAGAAGTAGCTTCAAAAGTAAAACTAAAAGTTGTTAATCGCATGATACTCAACAACGGCACAAAAGAAGAAAGCGTTAGAAATTTGATAAGGTTAAAATCATTGCAGAAATCTACTGCACTCAGCATATAGAAAAAGATTCAGATTTTCAACTTTACTAGTTCAGAGACTTGGCGTGATATCACCGAAACCATTTACAACAGCCTAATGCAGAGACTTTTATCAGCAGGTGCCTTTATTGACTTCTTCCTCTTAGGACGAACCAACGGAGATCCTATCGCCCAAGAAATACTTCTAAGAGATTAGTCAGGCGGACTCTAACGAGACTTGAATGATATCACACGCCAGACCATCAGTCGAATGTAACCTCAATGGGAGACGACAATTTAGGCGTCTGTTCGAGGGGGTGACATGGCGAAGGTCGTGTGACGGCGGGGGTTGGGATGGGCGGATGACAGCTTGTAGACAATTGTGGAGCCGGCTAAAGAGGATTGCAGAAGACAGGATTCAATGAAGATGTTCTGTTGAAGCCCCAATGTTCCACTCAGAACCCAATGGTGATAAAAATAATAGTGGCTTTTTCGGTTTGAAAAGGTTTTATTCGTACTCGCCTTGGGCAAGATTCCTGTATTCTCTATGAGTGACTCAAAAATTCATACCCGAGTTCACTTAGTCTCCAGAATCAATACTGTGTGTTCCAAAATAGACATGAGGCGATTTTCTGTAAAACCATTAAACAATTGGACAGAAAAGTCTGAGTACAGTCGGCAAATTTAGCTCCACAGAAGTACATTGATTAGTTAATAGTAACCATAACATGAATAATTCGCTTGTTTGATAGTTTCTTTGCATTTTAAATTTTTGTAGGCTGCAATTGGTGTAGCACGATTGTTAGTCCAAGCAATCATGGAAGAGGGTCTTTCCGAAGCTGAAGCTAAATCACGTATTTATATGATGGATTCACATGGTTTAGTGGTTACAGTAAGTGATAATAAAGTACATTTATTTTCAAATATTGATTTTCACGAATTTGATTGGTTTACCGGTTTAATCATGAACTACTGAAATCAGTTAGATAGAGAAACACAGTTGAACGAGGAAAAAAACGCATCCACAACATTATAATCAATTCTATGGGACATCAGTTAATCTGACTGACTGAGTTGCAACGTACAATTCTGCACAGGTGTGCAGCGTTTCGAGTTGCCACACTCCCGAAGAACAATAGAGTTTTATTGGATATGATAAACCATTAGGAGTGAATGCATCTGAGCCAGGAATCACCGAGAATGATGACTTTGAGCCATGTCACCAATTATCTCCAGCCTTCATTGGTTTATATCATCACGAAGACCCCGACCAACCAGTCAGATAGTCTACACCTGCCTACGTGACTGGCTAACTGACTGGTTAGAACTAACTGTTGTGGATTTAATTTACTGATGACGCCCATGTTTTGGTTTGACCACCACTATCACTAGCTAACTCCTTTCCAGCCTGATCCATCCTATGTCAGTGGCTAAGGGGATGTCTAGACATGTAGGCATCCATAACACATGACCTAACCACCTCAATTGGTGTAACTGCTTCACAACCTCGTTGATTGATTTCCCTTCCTTCTCCTCCTTACCATCAAGCACTCGACCGACCTATGCCTCAATATCGCTCACCTGATTATATTACTACTGTATACGGGAGATAGAACGCAGACACCTATGATCAAAGATAGCTAGCTAGTTGGCCAGACTTTTCATGTCTTTCACTTCCAATGGCCATATCTCACAGCCAGTCATACAATGGCAGTCAAATCTTTCTCTACCTCAACTTCCTCGACAGCGCTGGCCGTGAGGTGCAGCGCTTCAAATCTTCATCAATCTCACTCAACAGCTGGCTCTATGACGATGATGGAACATGTCAAGTGATCTATAACGGAAAACTCACCGAGGCATTCGAAGTGAATACAGGAGTAATACAAGCTGGCTGCCTATTATTCTTAATTGTGGTCGACAGCATTAAGCATCAACAGACTGTGTGTTGTCAGTGAGTGAGTGAGTGAAACGACGCAAATACACTGTACTGACTGATAAGAAGACTCTAAAAGATCTGGATTTCGCGTGTGGATGAATTATGTTTGATGTTACACAAATTCGAAGACTCACAGGCGTAAACCAACTAACTGGGAGAAGAAGGAGGCAGCAAAGAAAGGACTCTAGGTGAACATAGAGTCGAAGGAGGTGATGAAGATACCAATCGACCAACAACAACAAAGCAATCAGCATCAACGACAGATATCTGAAACAGGTCACTTCCTGTCTTCATTTATCTAGGAAGCATGGTTTCAACCACAGGCGACAGTACGGATAAGATGTCAAAACTAGCCAGACAGGATTGGAAAGGCAAGATCCGCCTTCACCACTCTCAAATCAGTTTGAAAATCTTCTGCACTCCGACTAAGTCAGCTAGTATAAACAACAAGATTCGTATTTTCAAACCATTGTTTCTATATTGGTCAAAAACTTGACCATCGCGTGACGCCAAGCATTTCCAACAGCCAGTTACAGACTTTTGTCAACAGTTGACTTCGCTTGCTCCATATTGGCGATCAAATGGTCAGCCAACCAGAAAGAAGTAGAGACAAGGAACTGTGACAATGAACAAACAAACTGAGAGGCGATTGCTCAACAAATTTATAGAAGAAGATGGAGATAGATTGGGAATATGCTGAGGAAAGAGGCCGTCGAATGACATTGGACACAATGCAGGCCGTCTCTCGAATGACATATGGCAGGTTAAGTGTGTGTCTGAGGTGATGTGCAGTTTAAGGCCTATATTCCACTTGAAACCCAAGAGAACAACATTAATACGAGAGAAAGTCTCATGCCAACTTTACTCTTTCTGTCCACTTATAAACACTAAGTCACACAGAATTCACTTTGTGTATAAACAATGTGTAAATTGTTTTTTTTTGGGGGGGGGGGAGGTGGCTGGAAGGATCACAGTTTTCAACTGATTTTATTCCAAAGGTCGATTGTCATGTCTCATGTTACACTCATATTTGTATATATAAGTTAAGCCGAATTTCTCACCAATTTATTTGTTTAGTTTTTGTAACACGACATGACTTTATATGAAGTATATACCACATATATATTGTTTATATAAATGGGTTTGTTTGCTAAATTTTCATATTACCTAGTTTTTAAACCAATATGCAGAATTTTAGATAGACAGTTAACGCGTGCGGTCACGTATAAGCTGACTGATGGATTATGTTTATTTGAATAATGTTAATTCTCAGTAAACGTTGTGGGCTGCAAAGTATTTTTTTATATGCTGTAATCTTGTTTAATTCGAAATATCACCCAGGCGATCAATAAAGCAGTGAATGTTTTAATTCATGGAGGCCGATTCTGATTGGTTTATTTCTAGACTGTACATAGGTCGCTTATTGTCATTATTGTTCCCTTGGGCTTCAGCGGCATATCTGTATTTCACCCTGTTCCTTGCAGTCCTCTTCAGCTGACCTCACGATTCCCCTCAAGCTCTCATCTCCTCCTCGCACGATCTCCATGTCACCCTCTCACCGACAACTCACTCGGTGCTGCCTATTCGGATTCCACTCGAGCTATGGCCTGCATTTGGTGGGATCTCATTTAAAGGTCTCCTCAACATATAACCAATCTACCTCCAGCCAAAAGCAATCGCCTCTTGGTTTGTTTGTTTGTCCCCAGAGTTCCTCGTCGCTAGTTCTTTCTGGTCGGCTGACCATTTGATCCCTAATACGGAGCAAGCGAAGTCAGCTGTTGATAGAAGTCTGTGGCTGGCTGTTAGAAATGCTTTTCGTGACGCAATGGTCAAGTTTATGACCAATATAGAAACAAAGACTAATCGTTGGTGTTGAAAATCGCAATATTGTTGTTTATGCTAGCTGACTGAGTCGAAGTGCAGAAGATTTCCAAACTGATTCGAGAGTGGTGAAGGCAGATCTGGTCTTTCAAATTCTGTCTGTGTGGCTGGGTGGTTTTGACATCTTCATCTGTTCCGACTGTCTGTGGTTGAAACCATGCTTCCTAGATAAGTGAAGGCAGGAAGTGACCTGTTTCAGATATCTGTCGTTGATGCTGATTTCTGTTGTTGTTGTTGTCGATGGATATCTTCATCACCTTCGTGTCTTTTCTATGCTCACTTGAAGTCTTGTCTTCGCTGCCTGCCCCTTGTGCCAGTTTGTTGGTTTACGCCTGTGAGTCTTCGAGTTTGTGTGAAATTAAACATAGGTCGCTGGCGAAATCAGATCTTCTAGAGTGTTTTATTTCAGTCCCTCTGCCCACGCACAGTCCGACGCATAATTCAGTCCACAATTGAGAATATCATCATCATGGATGATAACAGACAGCCTTGTCTTAATCGCGTCTTCACTTCACAGGCTTCGCTGAGTTTTCTGTTGTGGATCACTTGACATGTGCCATCATCGTCATATAGCCAGCTGTTGAATGAGTTTAATAAAGACTTGAGGTATGCCATAGTGTTGAATTACATCAATCACTTAAGTAAGCCAATTCTTATTGGTTAGTTTCCACGGATGAAACATATCCATCCAGTGTTCCCTACTGTTTTGTCAATAATCTCTCCAACTGATGTTGGTTCTTGATGATAATTCAATAAACAGAGATTGTTTTGACGCGCACAGTGTGAATATACCGTTGGATTTCATCATCGCAATCAGAGCCAGTGAGTGAGATCAGAATTGTTAGGAACCAATTGAGTATCTGAAGGGTTGTCATGCGAAAGATTGTTTAGAAAATAAATGAAAGCTTGTTAGCTCAGTCGTGAGTTCAGCCGAAAAAAGACAACGGGAAATACAATACAATCGAAAAGATATGTGTCTTACGGAGTGTGTTTACAGTCGACTCTAAATCCAAAGGACAAATAATAGTAATAACAACTAACGTAGTTGTAAAAAAATATACGCCATGTAAATTTGTCTTCATTTTCGGGTCAACAAATCTTTAAAATATTTCCTTTTGGCTTTCTCAAATTTTCTATCCAAAATTTGTCCTTGAACTTTTCTATAATTTTCTTTTTCTCTAAGAGTCGTTCTCAAAATGAACTTACCGGACCGAAGTCAGAATTTGTTCATTCTGATTGCCCTCAAGTCGATTCATTACTGGAGGCTGTTCGACTAATCCGACCATCTGTTCTGATTGGTATGTATGTTTCTTTGTTTTGTTTTTTTTTGGTCGTTGGTTTACGAAATCCTTTCGAATTACCGTTTCTTTTTTCAAGAAGAAAAATAGTTCATGACACCTAATCTGGTGACAGTCTTATTTCTCAAACTTTCTGTTGTAATTGTCATCACCAGTGGTCAATAGGAATTGTAATTTATGCTAGCTGTAAAGAGAGAGAGAGCTATCCAACTTGGTATGTCGTTTTCAGAAACTTTTGATAAAGGATGAATTCAGAGATGCTGTTTCACTTTGTTGTTGCTGAAACATCCGTGGGCAATGATCACACACACTTCTATCACTGTTACTGATAAAACATGTGTTCTTTTTCAACTTTTAAATACAGTGGATTACTGTTGAGTCTGGCGCTGTGTACAGCTCCGCCACTACGACAGACCACTGCCTTCGATTCGTTGCACAAAACTGTTTTCTAGAACTCTCTGTTAGCGAGACAGGTGTACCCTAGAAGTTTGTTAACATCCTGAATTCCCTATACAGAAATATCTTATGTAAAGTGAGAGTATACAACCAGCTATCATTGCTGTTTCCAACCAACAGTAGACTGATCGACTGATTGCTTTCAACGTAGAACTTTGCGCAGATGTGCAGTAGTTCGAGTTGTCACACTCCTTCCATGTAGCACACATAGCAAGAGAAGAGAGTAAAGAGAGATCCAAATCACAGAGAGAGAGATAATAAACAGAAGTGTTAGTGAGGGAAAAAGAATAGTAATATGGAAGAACAACAGTAGAGTTTTATTGGATATGACAGATCATCACAAAGAGTGAATGCATCTGAGCCAGTGCCAACCATCACCGAGAACGATTTTCAGCCATATCATCGGTTGTCCCCTGCCCTCATTGAGTTTTACTGTCCTGTGGACCCCAACCTGAAGCCATGTTGGTTTTGGTTTGACCACCACTACCAGTAGCTAACTCCTTTCCAACCTGATCGGTCCTATGTCAGTCAGCTGATATCGCCGGTCGGTCGAGGATGAAGATGGTTATTTGTAAATGCGTAACACATGTTCTAACTATCTCACTCAGTGTTACTGCTTCACAACCTTGTCAACTGATTTCCCCTCTTCTTCCCTTACCTAGCCTTCGATGCCTAACCTCAACACTGGCGTTAGACAGGATTGCCCAATCTCACCATTTCTCTCAAACTTTACCCATCAATGACATTCTGGAGTCAGCTCTGAAGGACGTGCGTCGTGCGGGTGGTGATGTAGATCTGATTCTTGTAGAAATATTTTCCAATCTTGGGTATGCAAACGACATCGTCGTACTTTGCGATAGATAGCATGCAGGCTGCCCCAACCTCACTTAATTAGTTGGCGATCAGTGTCTGTAAGTATGGTATGTACTTTGTACCGTCTAGGTACCTGGATATTTGTATGAGTGCTGGTGGAGATGAGGTGTGATAGACGAGATTTCTAACCGTATCATGATAAAAGCTAGGGTGGCATATATCAATTTGAGTCACACCTGTCGTCATCGCGACATTAGTCTGTTTACCAAAGGTCGGATTTACGATGCTTCGGGGATCGTAGACTTGCTCTGCCACTGTGAAACCTGATCTCCGAGGTGAGGATGAGCGGCGACTCTGTGTATTCGATCATCTCTGTCTCTGTAGAATTGCTTGCATTCAATGGTATCGTCATGTGAATAATTCTGAGGTCTGGACACAGTGAAGGTCACCATTCATTGAGTGTCGTCATCTGGGAACAGTGGCTTCGGTGGCTCAGATGCATGTTTCGAGTGTCATCCCAGAGACAGACTTCCATATTGGTTTCTGTTTGGTAGCCCTGCGACAGGATGACTAAAGCAGAGAGGTGGTCAGGCCATGACGTGGTGTCTTGTGCTGACGGATATTTATGGTAGATTACAATCGGTTGGTGCGTCACATCTCCCTGGTCGGCGTCTGATAGATAGGTCGAAAAGTTATTGGATATATCTAAGAAACGCAGTCATAAATGACGAACATCGTGCTGCAGTTTCCTTCTGTCTTCCATTTCTGACAATATTTCGAGGAATGCCTTTTGGTCATTTGAAATAAAGCTGCCTTCTTCCCAGACGAAGTCCATTATTGGTTGATATGAGTATAAAACTTGGGCACTGTAGTAGACCATAACTCCATTATGGATAAGATTTTATTTTTGATAAATCACACAGTGTTGTACAGTAATATTAATATCAGTTAATATTACTGTACAACACTGTGTGATTTATCAAAATAAAATCTTATCCATAATGGAGTTATCCATTATTGATTCTCTCGCCATTTTTGTTTTTCATATGTTTTATTATTGTTAGGTTTTGTGGTTTACATAATGAATAAAATGCATAAGTTAGTTGGCTAATGAACAGTTAACATGAATGAATGTCTTAAGATAGTGGTTTTAATGAGTAGTTTGATGATTTCAGTCCTACAGGCGTATATACATATATTCATTCTCCACGTTCAAAGTAGAATATAAGATTTCCGCCTTTTAGTTTGATTTTCCAGTAGTGGTGATGCTGTTTATGGTCACATAGTGGGGTTGCTGGTAACCTCACACCCAATCTTCCTTCTTTTTCCGCCTTTGGTCGGAGGGGATCGGACCCGGACTGTGTGTGTGTATGACTGGTGGGTATTCTACCACATTAAACCACCCAAGCACTACAGTTCTTTGAGTATCTCCATCATTCCCTAAGTATTTTCTCTCTCTTAATATATGTAGATATATGCCGCACTTACTTCGTTGACGTCCCTATAAACTACTTGATACTGCCGAAGATGTGTAGACATCTGTCTTCATCTCGAAATGCTTCTTTCATGTGGCCACGCCTTCATAGTATCTCCCAGGCATGTCGTATTCACTGCCTTCACGTGGTGGGTGTGTTCATCACAAAAGTAAAAAAGGACAAACGCGGACGTGTAGCGTTTACAACCAGACAGGTGGACATGGGAGCTGAAGAAATCATGATTCTAAACCTGTGTATGGTGTACATAGACTCCGGCGGAATCCGAGCGGATCGAATGGTGTCTGAACCTATTTCTCAGTCGCAGGACAACAATGGGAACGTGGCTCCTGACTCTGTTCCACTACCTTGTAGATTAAATTTCAAGTCAAAGGCTTGGATGTGGTCCCTTAAGACTGTCACTTGGTTTCAATATAAGTGTCTAGGCAGTTACCCAGCCCTTTCACTAACCATGAGATTTTCTGTAGCATGTCTCTTAATGTGTGTAGTGTATTTTGGTAAAAAAAATAATGACTACCTCAACTTCATCGACTTCGTAAAGGCCTTCGACAGACAGCGGTGACTGAGAAGTAATTTGGAGAATACTTCAACACTACGGCGTACTTCAACTCTTTATCAACCTTATTCAATAATTGGCTGTATGACAATGGCACGTGCCAGCTGATCCACAACTGAAAACTTGGCGAGGCGTTCGAAATGCATACAGGAGTAAAACAGACTGACTGCTAATGATCACCAACGATGATGTTCTTAAATTGTGGTTGACTGGATTATGTGTGAAACTGTGGTGAGCGAGGAGTCAGGAGTATGCTGCACTGACTGATAAGAAGACTCAAGAAGATCTGGATTTCGCAGGTGACATATGTCTAGTGTCAGACAAATTCAAAGACTTGCACTCAGGAGAAAACTAACAAACTGGTTGAAGAAGCTTGCAGCGAAGACAGGACTCCAGGTAAACATACAGAGAAGATGGTGACGGAACTGATGAAGATAACCAAAGAACTGCAGAAACAACAACAACCAGCGCCGATCACCATCAACAGAAGAGATTTAACAGAGGTGACATCCTTCACTTTTCAAGGCTGCAGCATCTTTTCAACCACAGGCAGTCGGAACGGATGAAGATATGAAAACCAGCCAGCCAGGGTGATAAGGGCAAGATACGCCCTCGTCAACCTGCAACCAGTTTGGAAATCATCTGCACTCTACCCAAAGAACAGGATTCGGATTTTCAACACAAATGTGAAGCCAATCAGTTCTTCTATTCGGGTGAGAAACTTGGCGTGTCACGAAAAGGATTTCCAACGGGTCACAGACCTTTATCAATAGCTGCCGCTTTCACTGGCCGGTTCCATACTGAAGATCAAATGGCTGGCCAAAAAGAATCGGTAACAAGAAACTGTGGGAACAAACCAACCAAGAGCCTATTGCTCAACAAATATGTAGGAGAAAATGGAGATTGGGGCATTTATTGAGGAAAGAGGCCATCGAATGACATCGCGCTCAATGCAGGCCATGAGTCTAGTGGAAGGTGTGTGGGAGACGACGAGTGGGTGATCGGTGTGAGTGTGACATGGAGGAGATCGTGTGAGGAAGATATGATAGCCTATGGTCAATCTTGAAGCTAGCCAGCTGAGGAGGACATTAGGAAATAGAAGAAAGTGAAGATGTGTTGTTGTAGCCTTATGTTCCATTTAGAATCGAAGGGAACAATAATAATATAATACCACATTGACTGACAACAAAGATTTCTTTTTCTTTTACTGTCTTTTGTTTACAGGAGCTTCTGCGAAACCGGGTGCATTCACTCGTGATGTCCTGCGTGAAATGGCTACAGTTAACAAAATTCCTGTTATCTTCGTTCTGAGTAATCCCTCCAATTTAGCCGAATGCAGTGCTCAGCTGGCTTACAAAGCTACTGAAGTAAGATAATTCACTTGATTAATTATTAGAGAATGTCAGCTTAAAATCGATATTTTCTGTGTTTTATTGCTTCAGGTCTCAAGTAGAACATGAGGGACGACGGGGTAGGGCTGTAAATCTGTAGGTTCAGTAATGATGCTGTGGTTTCTTCTGGCTGGCGGACTGCTAGTCTCACGCCCAACCTCTTGTGTTTACTGGTGTGACTGTCAGCTCTAAGCGGGGCTTAGGAATGTGTTGGCCGGCACTTGAAATGGGACCACATGCATGGCGGGCGGGCGAACGTTCTGTTCTTAAACGCCGCTGACTGTCATTGTGTGATAATTTAATTCGCATGTCGCAGACCTCCGATTGCCTTCAACCGCCTTACATTACTCCTAGGTGTACAACAGTGATTAGACACCCAGCTTCTAGGTCTCATCTCAAACTTGGCTGATAAAATCTAGTCATGGAGTGTGGATACATGATATTTATCTCTAGCCATTGGTTCTTATAGTCCCGAGAACACTACCAACCAGTCAAACAGTCTACACCTGCCTACATGGTTGGCTCAAACTAACTGTTCAAGATTTCATGTTTCTGTCTGACCACAACTAACTCTTTTCCAACTTAAACTTATGAAATCTAACACTACCCGTCGAGGAAGGCGACGGTTAGGAATGTGTAACACATTTCATAGTTGTCTCATTCGATGTCCTATAGTTACCACTGTGAGTAATGTTGAAGTTAAATTGCATTCTGTGACTTTATTGGACAAAATATCATTGATTATAACTTACTGAAGCTGGTATTCCTCAGTGTGCTGTTCGCTTTCCTTTTCTTTTCATTTTTTTCTTTACAAGACTTACCCCTTGTGGACGAAATCAACTTCGTCAAATACACTGACGGACTATCTGACCGTCTCGCTTCCTGTCAAGTCCAATCATACTGTTAAAAACTCGATAGCTTTCTGTTGGACATCAGACAGTGGTCCAAACTAATTAGTCTTGCGTTAAGTCCCTCAAAATGCCAGACTGTTGACATCTCCTTTAGACATAAACGTGATCTACAACAACTGGTTAGTACACATGATGCTTGTAGCATCGAAGGCATTGTAATAGAAACTAGGTCTAACACAACTTTACCTTGGTATAGTTTGTAGGCGCGTAGCACTGAATGATTGTAACCTTTTTTTCCTTTTGAGTTGAACCTGGCTGTCATTATCCTGGAGGAGATTGGTTCCCACTGCATGAGAGCTTTAGCCGCTGTTGGTGACATCATGATGGCTACTCCCTCGGTGTGCTCGTGATTGTCCTCTGGGTGACCGGAGTAGATTATTGTCTCTCCAGTTGATAGTTGGCTCCTTCCACATCCGTTCCATCTGCTCTCGCATATTCCCAACACTTCTATTCTATATCTCCTCATTTCTGCGGCTACCTGAGCAGCCTTCCCAGCTTCGTACATTGTACGAACATTCCACGTCCCCAACCTTATTTTCGCTTTCATCGAAAGAAGGCACATCGGCTGACTGGCTTCCCGAAGGCTTTCACCAGCCCGCGTCATTTCACTTCCCCGATTCCAGCGAAAAATAAGGTCACTATTTGTAATTTTAGAATTTTGAATATATTTGTGCGTTGAAGTTTTAGTAGCAATTTGGTTAAGTTTTGGGGGTGGAGTTGCTAGCACCACGCCCCAACCCTCCCTCTTTATCCGGACTTGGGACCGGCTAGAATACTAGTGACCTAGTAATCTAGGCGAGGTTAAACATTGTGTGCTTTTTAGATATTACCCACTAGTAGTTGCTTCACAGTCGACTACTTACTATTTCATTGGTATCGTGCAGCTGAATGATTGGATGTATTTCAAAGAATTTGTACAAGCACAATGGTAGCTGTCAGTGCACTAGCATGGTATCATACAGTACATTGACAACAAACGACACCAGTATGTCCGGGTTGAATTCACAGCCGATACACTCTCTAACCATTAGTAAAGCCGAAGAAGATTGGGCATGAAACCGTATATTTATTCCACTCAGAACTCAAAGATTGAATGGAACGGGGAGGATTATCGATGAGAAACTTGAAAATGCCCATTGAGTCATGTATTGGGAAAGGTGTTCAGAGAAGAGTTACTTCTCTTTCTGGCGATATCATTCTCAAGCTCTACAATCGCATATATTTGCATAGTAAATTGTCTTAGCAATGAAAGGAATATTTCCAAAGATATGTCACATTATTGTTATTATTGTTTCCTTTAATTCCTAGAGGAACATATGGCTTCACCCATGCGTCTCCATTGCGTTCGGTTCTCTGCTAGAGTTTTCACCTGGCTCCGAGTCTGCCCACATGCTTTCATCTCCTCTTCACATCACCTCCTCCAAGTCACCCTCACACTGACGATCAACTCGCCGCTTCCCTTTCGGCTTCCACTCGAGCAATGGCTTGTCTTGATGGTTTCCTCAGAGTATGGCCAATCCATCTCCATTTCTTCCTGCCTATTTGTTTCACAATCGGTTCCTGGTTGGTTCGCTCCCAGAGATCTCTGTTGCTGATCTTTTCTGGCCATCTGATCTTGAGTATTGAGCGAAGACAACTGTCAATGAAGGTCTGTAGTTTGTTTGAGATGCTCTTTATGACGCACTGGCCAAGTCTCTGATCCGTATAGTGGTAGCACTGACTTCACATTGGAGTTGAAAATCCGGATCTTATTTTTGATGCTGAGTGCTGTTGACCTCCACACAGACTTGAGAGTAGTGAAAGCTTGTCTTGCTTTTCCAATTCTTGCTTTGATATCCTCGTCAGTTCCGTCTGCCTGTAGTTGAAACGATGCTTCCCAGGTAGGTAAAGGAGGTTGTTTCTTTCAGGCTCCGTCCATTTATGCTGATCGTTGTCTGTTGTTGCTGTTGGTGTTGGTGGTGTTGGCCAGGAATCTTCATCACCTCTGTTTTCTCTATGTTCACCTGAAGTCCCTCCTATCTTTGATTCTTCTGCTGCCAACTTGTCGTTTTTCGTTTGCATATCTTCCAGTTTGTAGGAAATCGGACATATATCATCGGCGAAGTCCAGAGCCTCCAAGTTTTTTGTGTGAGTCTATTTTATGCCTGTTTCCTCATTGCAGGCTGTTTGTCGCATTATCCAATCTACTGCAATCAGGAAAATCATTGGAGATAGTAGGCAGCCAGCTTGTCTCACTCCTGTCCTCACTTCGATAACAATTTACATAGTGTAGAAAGCGTTAATCGGGTAGAAACTAAAGTAAGATTTAATAACTAAGTTGAGTGACGGGGTTGAGTAGAATTCAACTATGATGCGAACAAGAGTCAAGCTAACAAGAGTGGTAATAAATGGGTAGGAGAAGAAAATAATGGAATTAAGAAACAAAAAGGTTACATATTTAGTGTCAGGATAGACCAGGTCCACTTTAGATCTAATGACTGAGCAAACTTCTTCTTTTGTATGCACAGTTTAGGATTTAGCATGTGATGAATCGTCATTGCTTCTGTGACGTTTGAGGAAGTTTGATTAGTACTCTTTTACCTTATTCTGTAGATAACTTTGTATTTCCTTTGTGGGTGGGTTAGCATTCTGTCCAGATTCGATCCGGTGTTCCAGGGTAGAGCTGCTTTGGGGGGGGGCAGAAATCTTTTTTCTCCTTTATAAAATCATGACTGAGGGTAAGTGTTCAATGATACGTTTGGATAAAAAATGCTGGGCACAGCCAACATACCTAGCTCCACAGGTGGAGCCAAGTGAATTGCTAGATGCACAATGATGCGGCTTCCCAACAGCGTTAGCTTATCCTTCACGTTCATGTGAATCATTGATTTCGTAGAGAGAGAGAGAGAGTTATTCAAAGTTCAGCAGCGAAGAACGTTTTCTTCAGTGAGCGGGACAGGTGGTTTATCAATATTTCTGCTGATGAGTCTCCATTGGATTGCAGATCCAAGTAGAGACGCCTTTTTGGGGAGCAGAAAGTTTGGGCTGTTTATAAGTCAAGAACACAATATTCAGCGAAGAGACTCTTTTCAACGAATTTATTATCAAGCTGTACAATCGTATATATATGGTTTTTTTTAATAAAAATTATATCCGGTGAGGGAATTAGGTCAAAGGTGTGAATACATGAAATAATAATAGTATGAAATGCAATTAAAATATTTGTGATTATAATCATAGTTTAATGTCAAGTGGCAAAATAATTAATGTCATATATAGAATAATACATAAGGTGTATAGAATTTTGGAAAGGGGTACATAATTATAAGATTAGTAGACGAATATAAAATGTTACATAACATGGTGTGAAATTTGATAAGATAGAATTCAATATTGTAAAAATAAAAATATAAAAATCAATAATTTTGGGTTTAAAATGTCAAGTGGGTCAAGTGAAAAAGATTCAGAGTGAGAATAGTAATAATAATAATAATCGTAGTAATAAGGGAAAAGTACATGGAATAACTAAATAAACAAAATAAAATAAATAAATGTCTATCCCTCTACGGCCAAGGCAGAAGTAGGGATTGTACATACTTCTTTTGTACACAAAGGTCTGGCTTAAAGTCATGAATTGCCAAGGCCTCAGCTGTAATTTTTATTTTTTTAAAACCATATATATATGATTGTACAGCTTGATAATAAATTCGTTGAAAAGAGTCTCTTCGCTGAATATTTTGTTCTTAATGTTTATAAGTCGTTTAGGTTTTATGGACTTCGTGATCAAACGTTCTGGGTAGCCATTTTCTAGGAAGATTCTTTCCAAAGTGGTAAGTTCCTCTTTCATAGTGTTAGGGCTGCAAATTCTGAGGATTCTACGGCTCAGTGATGAACGATCAGGTTTCCTTTCGTATGTAGGGGTAATTATACAACTGATATCGGTTGATGATGACAAATGTACATTGAAAACTGATCACAATTTTCTTTTTGTTTTGTTGTTTTTTCTGCTCTAGTGGAGGTGCATTTATGTTAGTGGTTCGCCGTCTGATCCAGTTCAAACACCAGATGGTCGTTTATTGGTTCCTAGTCAAGGGAATAATTGTTATGTTTTCCCAGGTTTAGTTAATGCCCTGTCATTGGCTGTGATACGTCCACTTACTGATAAATTATTGCTTACAGCAGCTAAGGTAATTATATGCATTGTTAGTTCTAATGCATATTTTCTTACCATCCTTATTCCATAATCTTTTTTTTAATTTTCATGTGTTGATTTGCAATGGGATTTGGTCGATTTTGGTTGGGAAACCGTTGAAAACTAACCAAAGTAGCTCAAAGGCCGACGGGTTTGCCTCATCACTCGAATGTTTCCAAAGTTCCATCCCCGATGGTGGTGGTAGGTCCAGGGATGATGGTACGTCATAATGAAGGGTCCTAAATTAGCAAAAACTACATCTGTCCAGTAATGTCTAGTTTTTTTAGGGTTCTCTAATCAGTATCATTTGGTGATCAAACCTAGCATTTCGGATCTCCTTATTCTATTGAGTTGCTGGTTGGCTGGTTTCAATGTACAACTTTGCACAGATGTACTGCAGTTCGAGTTGCCACACTCCCTCCATGTACCACAAAAAGCAAGAGAAGAGAGTAAAGAGAGATTCACAAGAGACAGAGATGATAAAGAGAAGTGTGAGGGAAAAGAGAAGTAATACGGAGGAACAATAGAGTTTTATTCGATACGATAAATCACAAGGAGTGGATGCATCTGTGCCATCCATCGTCGATAACGATTTTGAGCCATATCACCAATTGTCTCCAACCTTCATTGGTTTATACCATCACGAGGACCCCAATCAACCAGTCAGCTAGTCTACATCTGCCTACATGGCTGGCTAACTGACTGATGAAGCCATGTTTTGGTTTGACCACCATCACTAGCTCACTCCTTTCCAACCTGATCGATCCTATGTGAGTCAGCTAACATTGCCCGTCAGTCGAGGAAGGCGGTAGCTATTCGCGAATGTGTAACACATCCTAACCATCTCAATCAATGTAAGCGCTTCATAGCCTCGTCGACTGATTTCCCCTCCTCCTTCTTCACCTAGCACTTGACCTATGTCTCACCTCAGTATTGCTCACCACCCTGCTAAACCGAGTGGCAAGGGAGTTAATCAGATTTCGTTCCTTTTGCAGAAACTTGTTAGTTGACCATTCCAAGTAGGTTCTCTATGAAGCATACTTCTTAAGGCTCCGTCAGGTCGTCTTGTTATTTTCACATCAAGAAGGGATTTGTCGTCTAACAAACAGCCGGATGACTCAGATATCTCCATACACCTGGAGAGATGTATGTGGTAGATTGACTTAAACAGTCAATTTTTATTTATTGATTACCGAGTTCGAGTCTCGCTCCACCTATTTCTCCAGCCATATCAACTGAATAGCGCTCTCCCATACACAATGAATATAATTTATAGCCTTGTACACTAAGTAACCAACTTCCCCCTAAATCAATCACAAAGTAATATAACTCATATTAACAGTGTTGCATTCCTTTTCAAGTGTTACTTTAGAGAAATTCGATTGATTACAGGTTTGATCGCGAGCCGACATCAGTTAGAGAGAAAAACAATTGTGAAAAACCAACAGACACTGGAACCTGATCCATTGCCAGCTCACCTTTTAGTAACTGGAAGGTCATGCGTTCGAACTCCAGTAGGTGAGCAGACTGCTGTGCAGAGTATTAAACTAGGACGATACAAACAGCTGTTTCTTTGCCCCTTGGCTTCTCAGTTGTTTCCTCTGTCTGATATCAACTGCAAGTTTTACCAGAAAGTTAGCCATTTTTGACAGACATGACTCATATTCACTGTTATTTCACCCCGTCTCCTTCTGGCGACATCATCATTTTGCGTTGGATGAAATTGCAGTGTGTCAGATGTTGTCCTCACTTCTATCACTGATACACTTATTATTATTACTACATTTCGTTTATTGTTCTTTTCATTGATAGAAATTGTCTGAATTGGTTACAGAAGAGGATTTAAGCAAAGGCAGTGTCTATCCATCAATTGCCAGTCTGGCTAAAGTATCAAAAGAAATCTCTTGTGCTGTTATGGAACAAGCTTTCAAGGATAAAATAGCCTATTATTCACCAGAACCACAGAACAAAGTAGAATTTATTGAATCACATTATTACGATCATAGATATATTGATTTTACACCTGAACAGTATGTTTGGTAAATTCTGTTCTGTGTGTGTGTGTGTGGTGTCTGGCTGGGTGATTTCTGATTCCATACATGTGATTCTTGTTCTTATCGCTTTTTGATATTTAATGTTTATTGGAGTTGTATTTCTCCCTTTCTCTCTGTCTCTCTATGCAAAACTGATTATTCTTTGTGATTCTTCTCTTGTCCCACTTTTTGTGATGCAATAAAAATGTGTTGTTTTCGTTAAACATAATGCATATATTTTCAAGAGTTGTTTTGTTTTTCGAGTTTCACCATGGATTGATTCTTGTAGTTAGATGACCATTGAAAATCAGCAGGGAATAGTGGACAGCTGTTTGATCAACCTAATTTGGGAAGCATTGGTATTTCGCACCCACCGCCAGGTTCCAACCCCAGTACCTTCCGGTTACAAGGCCAGTGAGCTCGTATACCACTCAACCACTGGGACCCGATTCAATGGCCAGTGCATGAATTCTAACTTCTACGAATTCGTGATGCATTTAGTGCGACTATATGCATATATTTTTGGTGATTGACCATAAAGAAAGATTAGCCATTGAAATCTACACTATATCAACTGAAGTTTTACCAGAAAAAGTGAAATTATAAGAGAAAGACAGAAATGTAAATGGCATAGAAAATGTTTTTCGACGATTCATTTTCATAAGCTGCTCTGCAATACATGTAATGATGATTACATTTAACAGAGAATTCATAACACGACTAATCAGATACTGGTAAAAAATTTCCCTCGGAAAAGTATTACGTAATTTAGGGTGTAGTTTAGATGGGGGTGATTAATTGGAAGTTAGAAAGAAGCGGAGACTGGCACTACGTCATAAGTGTGATAAAATGACTAGTGATAACGATTGCATAGAGTGGAAAGACGATAAACAGTAGTAGAGTGATGATAATATGAGGATGATGAGAATAATGAAAGGAATCAAAATTACACTGTGAACGTTACTCTGGCTACGATAGGTTGGCGAGTGAATGCAAGTGGTGCTTCTGAATGCAGAAGTCCGGTTCTAAATCCCGAATAGCCAATGATTCAGTTATGTACAGATGGCGTATTCGACGTTAGTCCTTTCTTACGATATTGAGGGACTCTGTGAAGCATTCCTGCGAGTGGGGGTGCCCGATATTTAGAGTTGACAAGGTATTCGGGGATGGAGATGCTAGTATTTTTCTCTTCTCCTCTGGCTAGATAGCTAGCCAAGCTGAACAGTAAAATTCTCCTCAACCTCACCCTTCCACCCCAAACTCATTTGAAAATTCGAGATAGGGCGGAGTTAGAATTCAGAGCAGGTTTCTCATATAACGAGCTGTGAGTTACATTTTCTTATAGGAGGCCTAGTGATACAACTCAGCCCCCAACCCTTCTCGAAATGAAGTGAGCAGAATTGGGTTTGAATCTATGAAAAGGAATAGCGAAACACAGTATTGCAATGCTGCGTCGGTGGCGCAGTGGTTAGGATTCTCGCCGACCATGCACATGGTCCGAGGTTCGATCCCCCGCCGACGCACACCCGATATCTATCGTCAGCCTGCAATATTTGGGCTACCGATATCCATGCTGAAAATTCCATACTTGTACTGAAAATACAGTGTGGCATCAAGCTGTAACCAAAATATAAATATATATATATATATCCGAGTAAAATAATTCAGTGATAAAATCAGACAGGAAATGCATTCATCACTCTGAAGTCATTTCGAAAATACTCTGAAGGTAAGTTAAAACCTCCGTCATCTAAGCTAATAGATTGATGCGTTGAAGGTGCTCATAAAAAAATTTAAAAGACTAAGATCAATGAACAAAAAGATATTCTTTGCAAGAAATTCCCCTCTATCATGTCTCACATTTATCTGACTCAGTGGCAACGTCTGTGACTGCAGCACTGAGTGACACGGGTTCGAATCTCAGAGGGGGACATGAGTCTCTTCAAGACATTGCAGATAAGACTTGCTGACTGGTGAAAGTGCCACCAAGCACGAAATCTAGGTTCAAAGCAAGATTACCTGGCGGTTGCCCCCAACCATTTATTCAAAAAAGTATAATATGTTTTACTGATAATTGCAGATAGCGTTATGATATCAGAATATAAATTCCACATCGAATATAAGACCTAATTTCTAGCATTTCATTTTCGAATGAAACTAAGTGAGAATTGAGCGATGTAGAAAGATTTGTAGCAGTAAATAATTCCCCAAAATTATTGACCACAGCATTCATCACTGACCATTGGAAGCTGATCCTCACTGTTTAAGTCAACTTGTTTAGTTGAAGGCTTCCAGTCAAGCATCCACGCCATTTGGTACTCCGTCGTGTCACGTTCGTTCGTTCGTGGACGATCCCTGGCTAGCTAAGCAGTCATCTCGCACTCCAATTCGGTCCCGAAATATATCTCGTAATTTGGACGATCAATTCCGATGTTTTACTTTGCCTTTGGTCTACGCGGAACGAATACTATAGAAGTTGTGGGTATTAGATCTTGCGTTAGTATACTTCGTACAATCCGTGAACGTCAATATCCTCAGCCTTTTAAGATTCATTATTATTATTTTATTTCTTTTAGTTCCAAGTTGCAACATTGAGCGGCTTCAAGCTTCAGCTTTGAAGTTGCAGTGGTAAGGTAAGAGACTACTAGCCTCATACGCTTCATCTTCCCTATTAGACCAAACTTACTAATAACTGCCTAGTAAGGTTTATTAGTGCGTCAGACCAAGATGTTCAAACCCCCTGGACCCCATGTCCGTGGTTGGCAAGTATTCGACCGCCGAAACACCGGTGCTAGAAGGAGACACTATTATTAGTCCCTTGAGTTCCGAGTGGAACACAGGGCTTTAACAACACATCTTCACTTTCTTCTATTTTCTGCCATCCTCTTCATCTGGCTAGCTCCATGACTGCCCATAATCCTTCATCTCTTCCTCACACGATCTGCTCAGTGTCACCCTAGGAAGACTCACTTACCACTTCCCCTTTGGATTCCACTTGATCGATGTCCTGCACTGTGCGCGATGCCATTCGATGGTGTCCTCAATGTATTCTCAATCCATCTCCGTTTTCTCTTACATATTTGTTGAGCGATAGGCTCTTGGTTGGTTTGTTCCCACAGTTTCTTGTTACCGATTCTTTTTGGCCAGCCATTTGATCTACAGTATGGAACCGGGCAGTAAGGGCGGCAGTTACTGATAAAGATATGTGACCTGTTGGAAATCCTTTTCGTGACACGCCCAGTTTTTGACCAGTATAGGAGAAATGACCGACTTGAAACTTGTGTTGAAAATCCGAATCTTGTAGCTGATGTTGAGGTGGAGTGCAGTAAATTTCCAAACTTACTTCAGATTGATGAAGGTGTATCTTGCCTTTCCGATTCTGGGTGACTTAGACATCTTCATTTCGTTCCAGCTGCCTGTGGTTGAAACGATGCTGGCTGCCTAGATAAGTGAAGGATGTAACCTCTGTCAACCTCTCTCTTTCGTTGATGGTGACTGGTACATGTTGATGTTATGGTTCGTTGGTTATCTTCATTATCGTCGTCACCATCTTCTCTGTGTTTACCTGCAGTCCTGTCTTATTCGGCTGCCTCTTCAGCCAATTTGATGGTTTTCGCCTATAAGTCTTCGAGTTTGTGTGACATTAAACCTATCTCACCTACACGCAAAATCAAGATATTCCAGAGTCTTCTTATCAGCGGTCCAGAGTAATCCTGTCTCCTCGCTCCCAACGCACAGTCTGAGGCATAATCCGCTCCACAGCGGTTGGGACTCTCGCCGTCCATTCTCGTGGTCCGGGGTTCGATCCCCTGCCGATGCACACCCGATATCTATGGTCGGCCTGCAAAATGTGGGCTGCCAATATCACATGCTGAAAATTCCATACTTGGAACGAAAATACCGTGTGGAATCAAGCTATAACGAAAAAAATAAAAGAATATTATCGTTGTTGATAATAGGTTGTCAGTCTGTCTTGCTCCGTTCTTCACTTCGAACACTCCTCCGAGTATTCCGTTTTGGATTGCCTGACACGTAACATTAACATATAGTCAGCTAACTGTTGACTGAGGCTGATAAAGACTTGTGGTACGCCATAGTGTTGAAGTAGTTTCCAAATTACTTCTCAGTCAACTCTGTCTGTCGAAGACCTTTTCGAAGTCGATGGATATGAGGTGGGGATTTGATTGTCATTCTATGCTTTGTTCTATGATGACGATGCGTGGAGTTGCGATTAGATCAGCACATGATTTGCCTATCCTGATTCCAGCTTTTTCCGGTGTGACTGGCGGAGTTCTGTTTCCAGTAAATCTTTCATTCTCTTCAGGATGATATGACTGAATGTTTTACTTGGCTTAGACAAAGCATTATTCCACGCCAGCTCTTGAAAAGTGGGGCGTAAGTCTCTTTTCTTCAGCAGCTTGACAAGGTAGCCTTCCTTTCAGTCGAAGGGTACCTGTCCTCCCAAACCTTTTGCAATATTGGCGTGATTACATCTGCGGCAGTTTCTGGGTCGGTTGTCAGTACGTCAGGGGGAATTCCGTCTGCCTATGGTGCCTTCTCAACTTGTCTTCAGTAGCTTGATCGCTTTCGTTGGAGGATTGGTGTCCACTGGCAGGCATTTGTGTGCGTGCTGTTGTTGGTGTTGTATTTCTGGGCGATTTGCAGGTGATAGTCGACTCAGATGTCCTTCGACGTGATCAGCCCACTGTTCGCCTGCCTCACCACCTTGGTAATTAGGCTGACTTGAACATCTTCTACATAAAGTGATCTCTTCCCGGATAGAGACCTGGTCATCTGATATAATATACTGAGGCCTCTTTTACCCGCAGCCCACCTGTCTGTTCTGCCTCAGTTTGCCGCCAGACGGTGTGTCGAAGAATTGTCTTTTGTCCTTCCTAGCACTCTTCTTCACTTCTCTGTTTATTCAGGTAAGTGTACATTGAACTCAGCCTCTCTTTCTATTGCCCATCCTTGCATTGAGTCATCTTCTGTTTTACCATCCTTCTCTCCTCTCTCCGATTAGCTTCCAGGTAGGTGTCCGTTGAGAGCCATTCCTTGTCTTGTCTCTTCTTTCTTCCTAGAACAGTTGTACACGTTTCCTTGAATATCGCCTTCAAAGAGTTCCAATGTTCTTTCATGCAGGTTTCCTCAGTGATGCCACGTGGTGTCTCCAACTCTGCCATGATCTAATCTGTAGTGAACGCATCCCTTGTGGTTTTGTCCTCCAGTTTCTGAATGTTGGA